ACACATCTATACTATACACCCCCAGATCTCTCACTTCTGGGGTGTTTAATGATATACCATCCACAGAAAAGAAATTCCCTTGAATTTGGCTCCTGCAGTTGGTTTAAATGTTTTCTAAAGAAAGCTGTCCTTGGCATTTTAGTGTGTAAGTACATCAGAGCATGATTCTAATCATCTTATATTTTTTTATTTTTTGACATGGAGTCTCGCTCTGTCACCCAGGCTGGAGTGCAATGGCACTATCTTACTGCAACCTCTTTCTCCTGGGTTCAAGTGATTCTCCTGCCTCAGCTTCCCGAGTAGCTAAGATTACAGGTGTGCACTACCATACCCAGCTAATTTTTGTACTTTTAGTAGAGACATGGGTTTCACCATGTTGGTGAGGCTGGTCTTGAACTCCTGACCTCAGGTGATCCACCAGCCTCAGCCTCCCAAAGGGCTGAGATTACAGGTATGAGCCACTGCCCCGGCCTGACTCTAATCATCTTAAAAGTATATATTGTTATGTGATATCAGGGCATCTGAATGTTTGGTTGTCCTAGGGTTTGTCTTTGCAGGCATTACTAAGATGCTTCCTTAGCCATGACTATGTGACTGAAAGGAATGTGCCTTGCTAGTTTTAAGATGGAGTTGATTTTTAAAATGGTGTCACCCTGGCTCTTCTATGCTCCTGTTACCCTAGTGAAGGTGCAGGAATCTTGGGAACCATCTTAGAATTGTGCTGTTACAAATTCCAATTACTAAAGGAGGAAATGACCAGAATGAGGGACTGGGAACAGCAAACATGGTCATTAACTGAAGGACTGCAGTGAAAGAGTCTGGGTATTTGTTTAATGTGTATGTTTGCATGTTTCACTCTTTAATTCACCTTTATGATAAATGTGATTAAATTTTTTTCCTATATAACAGCCAAATTACTTGTGTAACAATAATTAAATAACCTCTCTTTTCCAATTAATTTGAAATGATTTATTTTTAATAAATTTTCCTGTATAACAAAAAAAGAAATTCCCTTTAGTAGCATAATTTGTGTGTTTTATTAATTTGTGGTTTTATAAACAATTTTCTTATATTTTTTATACACTGGGACCAAAAACAAAACAAAACAAAAAAACAGTTACCCAAATCAGACCCTGGACATGATATGACTCTAGTAAACAACATAGAATACAATGTTGCACTTGTGGTAGGTCAGTACCAATCAGGCAGCACTGGATACTTGAAGACTGTATGCCCCTGATCCTAGCTTTGTCTCAACACCTATTGGCTCCGTCGCGTGCGGGGGGCCACCTGCCACAGAGAAACACCGCCATCTAGTGGCCTGTGGGATCCTGCACAGTCTGAATTGAAGCTGTTTCAATAACACGGGGAAGGGAAGGAAGGGTCAAAGCTTAGTTTCCCAGGTGACTTGTCCACTATTGACTGGGAGAACCCAGAGAAAACAGCTGTATCCTGCACTCAACCCTTAGACACTCCGAGCATAGCAAAGGCTTTGAGAAGTTCTGCAGAAGAGAGAGAATTGTCTGTTTACTCAGGATTATCCAAATGTATTTCTCCATAGAAGCCTCCTCCCATTTTGTGTATGTGAATGTGTGTGTATGTGAATGCGTGTGTATGTGTGTGTTTTGTGTACAAAGCAGCGGTTGATATTCCTCAGAACTTAGTTTTTTACATGTGCCTTGTGAAACTCTGCTAGGACATTTTAGTAACTTAGATACACAAGCTCTGAGGAACTGGGACAGAAGATGGGTCCATTTGGATGCAAGTGGAGAAAAAAGGAAATAAATCTTTAAGTATGGAAGTAATTTTTGACAAGGGAGACCTTGGTGAGAAAAAAGGGGGTGTAGGTATTGGATAGTACATGGGGTGCTGAGATTTGGGGTGGAGAAGATGCCTGAAAGTGACGGCCACCAAATGGAGGGTGAGGGGGCCTCCAAGGTCAAAGCTTATGTTTTTTCTTGTTGCCTGAAGTCATGCTGGGAGTAAGAACAACCTCTGGCTTCTCCTGTCCTGGTGGGTCTTGAAGTTGGGACACTGCTACAGAAGCGTGTGGCACCCCGAGAGCATCTCAGATGCTTGGCGGGAGCTCAGTGTACCCCTCAGTCTGGGTCAGGTCCTCCTGCTGCACCTGCCTCCAGCCCCACAGGAAAAGTGGGGAACCTGAAACCCCCATGTAGTCTGAGTGCCTGGAACTGCTGCAGGATTTGTCTGAGTTTCTGGCCCCTGCTTTCCTGAGTTACAAGAGGTGGGAACAAGTGTCAAGTTGTCCAACTATGGCCCTTGTGGAACTCACTTGCCACACCCTCTGATGAGGCTGAAAAGACGATCCAGAAAACCACATTCTTCATGAAGAAGGTGCCCTCTGGTACGGACTGGGTGAGGCCTGGTGCTGGTTATTTCTGTACCATTTTGCTACATGTAAAAGGACTGGTTTAGCTACTGTATGAATGCTGGGAACAGATTCTTGCTTTTGAAGCATGGTTTGATTACGAAGCAGAAAAAGAACCCCAACTTTTAAATATATGAGGCTAAAAATCACCTTGCTGGATGAGACAGGATTCTTTCTGACAAGCACGGGTGGCTTCTCACCATTCAAGGTCTCTCAGACTAAGGATTTACCCTAACTTTCTGCGTATTCTCTTGCATCTCAATGGAACAACGCAACTGCCTGTCTCTTTTCCTTTTCTTTCCAATCCTTACAATGGGACTAAATGCTTTCCCCAATATTATAGCAGACTGTATGGCAACTGCCCACAATTGGTACCTGTTGGAGCCTGGAAAAACTGTCCCAGAGCCCCCATTAGTCCTTTCCAGCCATTATGATGGAGAGGAAATTATGGGACAGGGGCCATACCTCTGATATATGAACCGTCCTAGGATTTGCAAAGGATGCCATCTTTCCAGAAGCAGTATCTTGATTTCAAAACACAATCAGATACTGATTCAACATGGAGGGTGGCTGCTGGCTCATCTGGGTTCCAGTCTTGGTTCTAGACTGCTTTGCAGGAAAACAGGCCCCACTGTTCTATAGTTCCTTCGCCATTGTCCATTCCTACAGAGCTTGCCAGATCAGGCACTCACTGGTGAGATTTCTTCTCATTGAACCTGAACCTATAGTTACGAAGCTATAAATGTGAGCATGTTATCTCTGTTATGGCGAATGTTCTACCGCAGGAAATGAAGGCTAAGAAGATCACATATTATCCTTTCCTGTTTCCTTTAATTCCCAATGCTAAATGTTCATTTAACTCCAGGCTTTATATAATGATCATTAAGGTTAGATAAAAGGCAGGCGCAAACTCAAATGGCCTGTGGTAAAATCAGAGACTTAGGAAATTCAGACACTGGTGTGTGAAATCCAAACCCAATTTTCTGAATGAATGAGCCACTCTTCAGCTAAATCTCTGCAAGTACAACCTATTAACTAAAGAGTAATTTACTTGTTAGGATTATAATCAGGATAATTCACAAATGGGTCAATTAATCTTCCTTGTTAAAAATACATTTCATGATGTGCCATGTAAGTTTCAAAATTCATTTAAATATGAGAAACACTATGAAGTCTTCCAAATGGCAAATTGCCATCTTTCATATTTTCTAAGACTGCTGCAAAACAACTTCTCCTACCATTCTATATATCAATGTAACTACCTGTAATTTTTTTTTTTTTTTTTTTTTTTTTTGAGATGGAGTCTTGCCCTGTCTCCCAGGCTGGAGTGCAGTGACATGATCTCGCCTCACTGCAACTTTCACCTCCCAGGTTCAAGCAATTCTCCTGCCTCAGCCTCCCAAGTAGCTGGGACTACAGGCATGCATCACTGGCTAATTTTTGTATTTTTAGTAGAGATGGGGTTTCACCATATTGGCCAGGCTAGTCTTGAACTCCTGACCTCGTGATCCACCCACCTCAGCCTCCCAAAGTGCTGGGATTACAGGTGTGAGCCACCACACCTGGCCAACTACCTGTAATTTATGGTTTTCCTCTCAGCCCTAATTCTGATAAAAACCAAGAACCTAGAAATAGAAAAGACAGTGCACATTCCTTCAAAGGCTCACTGCCTTATTTCCTCCAGGCCTGTTTGCTTTTTGGGCAGGTGAGGCCACACTGAGACTGGAAAACGAAGGTCTGTGTGGTCTGACATGATGGATGTATGTGGGAAGTGTATTCTAGATACCAGGACCAGGGCCTCTGCTTCTGATAAGCAGGTACAGAACGCAAATCCAGCAGGGTCTTATGGTCTATGACCTGCCCTGGCTTTCCATTAAGGGCAAGATGGAAACTGAGGTGCCCATGGCACCTGCTGATGGGTTTTGTCTCCCCACTAATAATAATGACTAGTATTAATTGGTTGGTTGAATACTTACCAGGCCCTCTTCTAAATGCTCATTGAGTCAACACCATAACCCTCTGTGTTACACACACAATACTATTGCTATTATTATTCCCATTTTACCGTTGAGAAAACTGAGGCACAGCGATTTGATAGTCTAGAAGATAGCACCATACAGAAGGCTATGCATGCTTTAGTTTGGAGTAACTAATGTATAATTTATGTTTTTCTGTATTTGGGCAAGATTTCTCTTACACAGCACTCACAGACAGGAGTCAAAATATTTATCAGCCTACAAAGCCTAGGTATCCATCTCTCAGGATAGGCTCTGGGAGTGGCTTAGATGCAAAAGTCCTGGAAATCTCTACTATATTATGAGTTAACTTTGGGATAACTAGACCATGAGGCCGTTCTCAAGGAAGAAGCCAGGGCAGAGGGTGGGGAACCTATTTACCCACTGTTAACAGAAGTATTTCAGCATTTAATTATCATTAAGGAAATACAGTGGTTTATAAATAATCATCTAATAAGTTATTGAAATAACCGATCAAAATAACCAGTATAGCTGCACCACTGTTAAAACTCTTCCATTAAGAGTTGCAGTCCCCAAGTGGCTATCCGCTCCCTCCACTCCCTCCAGGGAGCTGTGCCTCAGACCCCTGAGTGTACCTTTCTGGCAGTGAAGCCCCTCAAAGCCCAAGGGGCAGTCACAGTCATAGCCCTCCTTCCTGGGCCGGCAGCTGCCCCCGTGGGCACAAGGGGCCCTCACGCAGGGGTGGGCCGCATTCTCTACATTCACTCCGGACGTGAAGTCATGCTTGACGTGGATGGTTCGGTCGTTCAGGATGATCTTGGGAGAGAAAAGCATAAAGAAATTCAGGAATTGAGAAAACATCTTTCTAGCCTTCTAAAGCTTCCCTTGGCGTATTAACCTAAGCTACATATAGGGAGATTTAAAAAAAAAATTTTTTTAATCCAGTTTCTCCTTTTTTTCTTTTTCTTTTTTTAAATTTGAGATAGAGTCTTGCTCTGTAGGCTAGGCTGGAGTGCAGTGGCACAATCTGAGCTCACTGCAACCTCCGCCTCCTGGGTTCAAGAGATTCTCCTGCCTGAGCCTCCCGAGTAGCTGGCATTACAGGCACTTGACACCATGCCTGGCTAATTTTTGTGTATTTAGTAGAGATGGAGTTCCACCATGTTGCCCAGGCTGGTTTCGAACTCCTGACCTCAGGTAATCGCCCACCTCAGCCTCCCAAAGTGCTGGGATTCAGCTCCTGCGTAGACGACAAGACTATAAAAGTAGAAACTAGGCCGGGCACAGTGGCTCACGCCTGTAATCCCAAGCTGATCCATTTGGGTGAATCTACAGAGTGAAGCGCTCCTCTGGTTCTGGAAGACTGGCCAGTTAGGTTGTAAAGAAGTTCCAAGAACTACAAAGTTTGGATTTCAACCTACCTGCACATCAGAAACACCTGGCGGGGGTGGGCTTTTAAGAAATACTAATGCCCAGACCCACCCAGACCCACTGAACCAGAATCTCTGAAGGTGAGACCAAGTCATAACTTTAAAAAACTTTCGAGAGTCACTTCAGAAGATGCAGCCCAGGTTGGGAGGCACTGCTATATAAACAGGACAGAGAGAGTGCAAAACCCAGGGTGACAGACTCGGAGGTCAAACAGGGCACGATGGCTCCCCATGGCTGTGGAATCCAGAGACGCTTCCCCGTGCACTTCTGTATGTTTCCAACTAATGTTCTCAAGTGGTCTCTAAAATTCCATCAGCTGGACCTCCCTGATTGTCCCACTCATTCCTGCTATCCCCCTTCCCTGACATTCCTGAATCCCCTCCCTCTGCACATTCCCTTCCCCACTTAAGAAACAAAAGTGAAACCCAGGCCACATCTTTACCCCACTGTGCATAAATTTCCTGGTGCCCAAGAGCTCCTTTGCCCCGTTTCCCCAGCAATGTGACGCTGGTGAAAGTGATCAGTTATGAGGAGGGGCTACTGGGTTCTCCAGCCCCAAATAAATGGCTCCAATGTCACCAGCCCTTGGTTCAGAATGTGGATTTACTTTGAATTGTTGCTGGGCTTTGCAGAACTTGGAGACAGAAAGAACATCTCCCACGGGAACCCGCACTGCCCAGAGGTTATAAGAGGTGAGCAATGGCACTTCCTGCCACGAATCTAAGCTTCCAAAAGCTTGCCTGGCCCTTAGAGAGCATTGGGAGAGCTGAGAGAAAACTTTCCCCGAGTTCTGAATCTGAGAAGCTGCTGGAGAGTAGCCAGGATCCTTCTACAATCTCCCTCTTTCACACTGCAAGTGAAGGACCAGGAAACTGCATAACACGTGCTGAGACAAGCCAAGAACGGCACTGTTCACTCCAGGACATGGCCCAGCCCAGGAATCAGGCAGGAGAGGGCGGTCGTTCTCGCAGGAGATGGGGAGAGGGTTGTGTGTGCTGTGGGAAGGGCAGGGCACAGCCTGAGAAAGGTGGGCAGAGGATGGGAGACGTCTTAGCTTCCCAGCTCGTTTCCTGAGTGAGAATTTGAAGCATAGTTCAGCATGGCCAAGCCCACTCGGCAGAGAATGGTCTGGACTGAGGTGTCACAGGTCTCGGAGTTCAGTAACAAAGGGACAGGGATCTGGGTGACTGCCAGCACATGTTGACCGGGCCTGACACTGTGATGGGAGATGAGATGGTCGCAGCCACAGGGGCCCTTTTCAGTGAAAGGAGGGACTTCTTTCATCACTCTTCCTTCACCTTAGCCTTCCTCATGCTCCATCTCAGGTCCGAAAAGGACCCTTTAGCCCCCACTGGTCACTAAAGGAAAACAGGATGAAGCTAACAGCCAGGAACTAAACATGCTTTTCTTCAGATCCTTGTGCCCCAAGTGTTTGGTGGCTGCAGCCAGGCATGCCCTCAGAACCACAGGGATCACGGGCAGCACAAGAGGAGGAGTAAAACAGAGAGAGCAGGGGAGTCGGTATCTTTTACTCAACTTTTCTTTCTGAACCTTCTAGGGAAGGACCCTTTAATCTATGCTCTCAGGAGCTTGGTTACATGATCAATGAACAACTGCTGAAGTGTGGAGGTGGGGATGAGCATGGGCTCTTAACGCGGAGCAAACTGCAAAGTACCGCCAAAGAGAAGCACAGAGCCAAGATTGCCGTCCCCCTCCACACTCCTCCTTCCCTGCTGTGGAAGTATCTGCAGACACCTGATGCCATTTAACTCTCTCAGCAGTCCCAATATAGTTTGGTAGATTTACTGTAAAAATTCATCATCATCAAGTGGCATTCACGGAATGTCTGTTGGGCACAGACCCAGGAGCAGATGTTATAGGAAAGCGAGGTTGGAAAGCCATGCTGCGGGCATTACAAAATACAATCTTAAAAATGTTCAAACTTTCTCAAAGTGTCTTTCTTGGGTGCAGCGGATGACACTGATCACAATCCTCGCTTTCATTTTCTGCGGTCTGAGTGGCCCCATGAACATGAGAAAGAGTCGCCTGTACCTTCTGGACGCTCCCGCTGAAAGGCCTCAGGACACCCGAGTCTTTCTTCACATCATCGTAACTGGGGACTCCGCCAATAAAAATGTCTGTGTTGCACTTAATCTGTGTGAAGCCTCCCTGCCAAGAGGTTAGACACAAAGCATGGTGTAACTTTAAAACAGATGTTCAAAACGGTCAAATGGGTCTTTGGTTCCCTGCTGGGGAAGAAAATGGTAGACACAGCCTCAAGACCCATCACGACAATCTGTCCACAGATGCGCTTCACTTTCACTGTGTTTTTCATTGCTACTTCCCACCTGCCTGAATGCTGGTAAATGTCTTAATGTCTCTGAGACTTCATTTTATCGTCTGCAAAATGGGAGTCATTGTATCTACCTCACGGCTATGTCATGATGACTGGCAGAGTGCACTGCTGTTCACTGGTACCCCACCCCACGGGAAGATCGCCTCCAATCTGCCAACTCAGATGCGCTTGTGTGACTTCCTTTTTTTTTTTTTCTTTTTTAGATGGAGTCTGTCAACCAGGCTGGAGTGCAGGAGTGCAGTGGCCTGATCTTGGCTCACTGTGCAACCCCTGCCTCCCTGGTTCAAGTGATTCTCCTGCCTCGGCCTCCCAAAGTGCTGGGATTACAGGCATGCGCCACTGCGCCCAGCCTTGTGTGACTTCTTATAACCAATAAAACATGAGCAGAAGAGAAAATAATCACTTCTGGGCAGAAACTTTCAGAGCCAGAGAGCAGTCAGCCATGCCCTTTCCTCCCTCCCTCTGTTCCTTCAGCCTGGATCTCAGATTAGCGCTGCAGCTAACCATTGGTGGATATGTATCATGAGTGAGAAATAAACCTTGAATTTGAGAGCTCTGGGAATGAACCCACTTTAGGTAATGCTAAACTTATTATTTCCTTTGATTTACAATAAAATAGTAGCAGCTTTGATCATTTATTTAACAACTATTATTAGGCACTTACTATAATATACCCCAGCCACTGTGTTAAGTGCTGGACAAACAACAAAAAGTAAGAAAGACCCAGTCCCTGCCCTGCAGGAGTTTATGCGAGTAGGGAACACAGACAGGTAAAAGAGCAGGTGAGATCAGCACTGGGAAGAACTGTACAGGTGGCTATGGGTGCACCTGGGTGCCAGACATGGGAGTCTCATATCCTACTCTAGACACAGGCAGTGGGAGAGGTGGTCAAAGAGTTAACGTTGTGGAAACGGGAAGAAGTTGGGGCTTAGAGGGAAGGTGAGTATAAGGCACAGGTGAGAAGGGGCCAGAGCACGCAGGACCTTACATGCTGCATTAGGAGCATGAACTTTACCCAAAAAGCAATGAGATTTAAGCAGGAGAGAGAGAGGTCTGTGCTTCAGAAGATCACTGGCTAGAGGGAGGAAAATGAATTTGGGGTCAGATCAAGGATAGAGAAGATGAGACAGGCAAATCATGGAGGAGGAAGTTCTGTTTATCTCAGGACGTGCCCACAGTGACTGGGTCCAGCCAGGTACCCCAAGGAAATTTCAATTAGATTAATAGAACAAAGTGCCTTCTATCAATAGCCTTCGGGCAGCTTTGAGGTTCTTACTTAGCTAGGAGGTTATCAAAGAAGCATAAAAGCTTTCGGGAATTCTTGTGGCCCAGCAATAATACCGAACCAGTCCAGAACTGTCACCACAAACCCACAGGCATCTTTCTTTTGTCATTGCTCTTACACAAAAGTTAAAATAAGATGGAAAGAGGAGAGGAGGAAGGACACAGAGTCAAGGAGGTTTCAGAGCAGCTGGCTGCTAGGAAAAAAACCTTTGCATTATGATGTGTCCAGCAGCGGGGCCTCGTGGAGTGAGGAGCAGTTCCTTTTGGCTGCTCATCAAAATCCTCATCCGGCACCCTCCTGCTAACAAGTGGAAGGGCTGCAGCTGTCACGCCCATGGGGGACTGCAGGAGAGAAGGGAACAGACCCCACCAAAGCCAGGCCTGCTCTGCAGTGAGGGGCTTCATGTCTGGATCCCATACTTTGGCTTGGCTGGAGCAGTCTGCAAAGCTGAGCAAACCTCCAGGCTGGAGTTTCCCGAAAGCCGCAGAAGCACTGCTCCTCTATGCGTCTCGCAGAGTCAGATTCAACCCCAGGCTTTGGGTATTTCTCAGTGCTGCCAGCTGAGCAGTCTGGTGATCAGGTTGAGCTGCGCATGGGCTCTTAGCTGCTTAGGTCCTGGGTTAGCCCCTCAAAGTGTTCTCTAACCCCTGCCCTCACCTGTCTCTGAGCTCTAAGACCATCGCCCTGTCAACCACACTTTGACCATGATAGGGACAGCTGGGGAGCAGAATTCCTTGTGGAAAAGATTTGATTAAGGTTTAGCACATGGAGATCAGGTATTGGCCTTCCCACCCTGGCTCACAATGGACTCAGCAGAAAGTCCCTCCAATGCACACACCAAAGCCACACCTTCCTGTGGGTTCCTTTTGCTTTTCTTTTGTGTTAAAACTCCAGTCAGTTCCATTCACCCACATGCCACCAGAGGTCAAAAAGCCAAAAGGGACGGTGCAGGCTCCACCATATTGGTTTCATGTTCTTTTGCTGATGTGCAGTGATAGAAACTCTGGGCTGTCTCTTAGATCCTAATAGTAAACACTGTGTCCTGAAGAGTTAACTTATTTATAACCATAGACCTTGCCCCTACTGTTTATAAACATTCCCATCCTCAGCTTTTGTTCCTGTTTTATAGATGTTTGCAACTAAGATCTAGAGACAGACAATTGAATTTATATAATTAAGCCAACAGACAGCCAGGTGTATTCTTGTGAGCTTCTAATTCTGTCTTGGACTAAGTTGGCTGCTAGAATGTTCTGGATTGTACCAGAAGTGACTCTGGTTCCCCCTTTAAAATCAATTTTCCTTCATCCCCTCCTTTCTTCCCTTCCTCCCTTTAAAATCAATCCCTTCCTCCCTCCCTCCCTCCCTCCCTCCTTCCTTCCTTCCTTCCCTCCCTTTCCCTCCTCTCCTTCCCACCTTCCATCCCTCCCTCCCCAGATATATATGGAGCATTTTCTAGGTGTGAAGTGTGCCCACCTCTTGACACAGAACCCAATTTTGGATTCCCCTCATTCCCAAGGAGGTCCTCCTACCACTGCCGCCCCTCAGGCTGGCTTCAGGACATATCTGGCCCTCTTTCTTCTCTCTCCAATCAAGTACCTCTTTCCCCACCAAAAGTCTTGTCTTCTTCCTTTTCCTTTTCCTACTAATATATTTGCTTATTAGTATACCCAAATTTGTCAATGTCCTCTTTAAATCTTCCTTTGCACAGGATGAAAACTGGTGGGAACTAAGATACTGGCCAATCTAAAGTCCCCTCTATTTTTAAGGAACTCTAAATTGTGTGTGTGTCTGTGTGTGTGTGTGTGTGTGTGTGTGTGTGTGTGTGTGTGTTCACAGAATCCTAGTAGGCTAGAGTTTAAAGCAAATCTCCCTGACTTTCTCTTACAAATGTTATCTTTCTTTGGATATGACTTTGGAATTAAAATCATGGAGGGAAGTTATAAACTTGATTAGAAATTCTCCCTCTTGAGTCCCTAACTGTACACTATTAACCACTGCTGCTCCTACTACCACTACTACTGCTGCTACGTAAAGCTGTTTACTGCTGACCTGGCATCAGGTACTATTATGTTTTATGTGTACAATTCTTTTTATTCTCACAACAGTTCTGGGAGGTAGGCACTATTATCATCACCATTATCCCCATTGATATGAGCGCTCCTGCTGACAAGTGGCAGGGCTGCAGCTGTCACGCCCACGGAGGACTGCAGGAGAGAAGCAAACAGACCCCACCAAAGCCAGGCCTGCTCTGCAGTGAGGGGCTTGGTGTCTGGATCCCACACCCTGGCTTGGTTGGAAGCAGTTTGTAAAGCTGAGCAAGTCTCCAGGCTGGTTTATGAGGATAATGCTGAGACGAGAAAAACAACCTTGGTGGTAGGTCAAGTAACCAGTATGAGCTCACCCCACTGCTAAGTAGTGGAGCCAGATTTTTAGCCCCAGGAGTCTGTTCTCACAACCTGTTCTTGTCAGGCCTCCCTCATGCACCACGGGCCCTGCCCCAGAGTCCATGTTCTTACCTACTACCTGGTACAGCTGATAAGAACAAAGGTGGAGGTGGGAGGTGAAGAGGTGAAAGGCAATTCTGTAAGTGCTGAACGTATTGGGTACCAACTCATTTAATCCTCACAACAACTCTGTGAGGCCCATACTATTACTATCCCCATTTATAACTAAGCAACAAAAAAGTTAAGTAATTTGCCCAGTGGAAAGCTGGGATTTTGACACAGGCACTGAAGTCCATGTACTTAACCACAACACTGTGCTGCTTTTCTACCAAGACAGGCAGAAAACAGTAATCTGGTTCACACTGACCATCAAGAGAAAAGGCATGCCATTCTTACCTCTGCCATCCCCTCCACTACCTTCTGTTTATCCACCTGTAAGATTCCATTTTTTGCTGTGCGAGATACACGAAGCTCGTGCCAGTTGCCTAGGGTGAGGGGATCTTCACTCCTGTGGAAGGAAGATGTGATATTAATTTTATGCATCGGATTGACTAGGATAAGGAATGCCCAGATAGCTGGTGGAACATTATGTCTGGGTGTGGTTTCTGGAAGAGAAGAGCACCTGAATCAGTAGACCTAGTAAAGATCTGCCCTCAGCACCTGGGCAGGCATCATGCAATGTGCAGAGGCTCTGAACTCAACAAAAAGGAAGAGGAAGGAGGGTGTGCTCTCTCTTCTTGAGCTGGTACATCCACCTTCTCCTGCCTTGAACATCAGTGCTCTTGGTTCTTTGGTCTTCAGACTGGGACAAAGACTTATATCATCAGCTTCCTGGTACTGGGTCTTGGACTGGAACTGACATCGTGGCTCTCTGGTTCTCAGGCCTTTGGGCTTGGACTGGAAATACACCACTAAATTTCCCGGGCTGCCAGCTTGCAGACGGCAGGACATGAGACTTCTCAGCCTCCATAATCATGCAAGCCAATGCCCCATGATAAATCTCTCTACGTATCTATTTATAGCCTATTGATCTGTTTCCCTGGAGAACCCTGACAAACATTGAAGGAAACTGAGCATGGGTTAGCACGTTATGGGTAATTTTTATCAATCTAGCCATGAGAAAACCAGTGCTAATCGTAGGCACCCCAATCCATTCAGTAAAAAGAAAACACAAATTCCTGCTTAGTAACAACAGCCAGATTAGCTACCATTTATTGGACCCCTTCATACAGTAGGAGCATTGCATGTATTGTTTTATTTATTCCTCACAATGAGCCTGAAATGGGGTTCAGTGAGTCTGGTTTTCTAGATGAGAGGTGGCATGAAGGTAAAACATGGTCATAATTGTGCGCAAGCTTGGAAGAAGAGAAAAATTCTACGAGCTATGGTGTAAAAAACAAATTATTTGGTGTACCAATGTCTGTAACATACTTTGAAATGCGTAAAAAATAAGGACCTTTCTGCTGTAGGTCTGAGTGGCTGCTGTTGAAATGGGCAAATTTGTGAAACCTGGGAAAGTGGTGGTGGTCCTGGCCAGGTGCTACTCTGGATGCAAAGCTGTCACTGTGAAGAGCATTGATGATGGCACCTCAGATCACCCCTACAGCCACCAGATAGCCCCTTGGACAAAACCATTATCAATAAAGACGTCTTAAACACAAGGCCCGATGGGAGGCCCAGGTCAAGTATGAAGAGAGGAAATGATGGGCAAGAACAAGTGATTCTTTGAGAAGCTGCGGTTTTAAATGCTTTGTTTTGGTCATTAGAATTTTTTTTTAAAAGGACCAGGCACGGTGCCTCACTTTAATCCCAGCACTTTGGGAGGCCGAGGTGGGTGGATCATGAGGTCAGGAGATGGAGATCATCCTGGCTAACATGGTGAAACCTTGTCTTTACTAAAAATACAAAAAATTAGCTGGGTGTGGTGGCACGTGCCTGGAGTCCCAGCTACTCAGGAGGCTGAGGCAGGAGAATCACTTGAACCCGGGAGGCGGAGGTTGCAGTGAGCCAAGATAAGATTGCACCACTGCGCTCTAGCCTGGACGACAGAGTGAGACTCCATCTCAAAAAAAAAAAAAGAAGGATGGATGGACAGATATAACAATGGCTAGATATGTGATGAAGCAAATACAGCAAAATGTTAATTACAGACTACAGGTGCTCGGTATCAGGATGCTTACTGCACAATTCTTTCAATTTTTCTATATGTTTGAAATTTTTTATAATAAACTATTGGGCAGGAAACATTTCATATTTTCTGATATTGTAAAAATGATTAAAATGACATTAAAAGTTCAATTGTTCATTCAAAATGGAAGTGCTTAAAGTTTAAGTACATTTATGCAAGTCTTATTCATTACGTTTTATAGTGAGGTGTGCAGAAAGAGTCTCATTATTGCATTTGTGTTTCCAGCAATGTCTAGTTCCTGGCCCTCGCTGAACTTCCCAATTATTTTGTGGTCCTGGATCATCTTTAGAAAACCATGAGGAATACCAATGGGCACAATTATTGAAAGGTCACCACCCCCTCACTTGATTTTTTTTTTTTGCTTTGGCAAATGCTTTTGTGATTTGTTCTTAGCAATTAGAATTTAATCACCTTGGCTAAATCAATATGCAATAAAGAAACAAGCAGCCCTTTTTAAGTGGTCTATCTCCATAACTGAGCCGTTTCATGTTTTTGTGCTGCAGAGGTCACTTGCTGTCGATGCGTCATCTTCCTCAACACCCTTTTATCGATCAGGGCCATCAAGAACTCATTCCAATTGTCTCGATTTTTTAATCAAGCTCATAATGAATTTGCCCATCATATCCTTTTCCTAAAGGTAAAATGATTTGGCCAATTCCACAACCTCCTGTGGTTGGGGCTTTCACTGCATTTTCTTAATTAAGCAAGAAGTCTTTGAAATGGTTTTCAAAATAAACAGCTTCCAAAGGAGCATCTGAAATACCAGGAGTAATCACTGCTGTCAGGTTACACTCAGGACAGAATGGGATAAGGGGGAAGATGGCGATTTGTCCCTTAGAAACTCTTGCCTCATTTCCATCACCTAATTCTTAAAACTTCTTTTTCCAGTTGCCTTTCCTGACAGGCAGTGAAATAATATTTATAAAAGAAAAATAAAAACACCTTGTGTCAAAAATAGGCACAGAGTTATGAAAGAGAAAAATGCTGGACTTCTAAGGGTTCCATGTGCTTGTGACTCCACAGCTGGAGCTGCCACTGTGGAGAGGGCAGCCTGTCCAGGAGGGGGGCTGACGAGCCCCGACCCTCTCCTGGATCTTTCTGGTCATTCCTTATCCAGAAAGAAAACCATTTAAAAGTGCAAGGTGATATTCAAGGTGTCTTCCTTGAATACAGTTCTAAGTGAATTGCTTAGACTATTTTGCATAATCATATGTAAATTGAATCAATTAAATCCCCACCAAAGTTGTCTTGAAATATAGGATGTTTTTGCATAACCAGAGGTACAACAATATTTGTCCATTCCCCTAGGGAAGAAGGTGTCACCAATGTGTAGGAATTCAGCCACAAGGACGAAAATAAACCGTCCTTTCTGAGAACTGCTGAAACCTAATGCAGTGAGCATTTTCCATCAGCCAGGAAAAATGACCAGCAGTTAAGGGCAATGCATGGCTGTTACATCTCACCAACATACCCTTTTTAAACATGACAGTCTAGCAATATGAATAAGGATCGAACACAGCAATATTCTTTGAAACAACAACGGACTGATACCCCGTTACAGGGTTACAGGGCAGCATGGAGCAAAACATCCTTGTGAATTTCAAAAGAGAAGCATTAAACAAATGTAGAAGCAAGGAGTATGTCCACATTCAATGAGTGGTCCATCTGGCTTGGAGGTTAAAACTACCACAGAAGGAGCACAATAAAAAGATGGAGACATAAACAAATACAAGTATCTACATCTACCAACTACAGGCTCCAAGGAACAATTGACCTGCTAAGTAATTTAATAGTACAAACTAGATAACAGTAGAAAAGTTTTGACTACTCAGACCAATTCTACAAATACCAATTCTACAAAGTACTGTGAAGCACCCATCTCCTGCTGTGCTATGGAAACCACTCATCACACTTCTTTCTTGAGCATATCGGTTAGGGAGCGATGAATCATCGGGTCTTTGCTGATGATTCACTGTCAGTTTCCATTAAAATCAGCTGGGCGTGGTGGTGCGTGCCTGTAATCCCAGCTACTCAGGAGGCTGAGGCAGGAGAATTGCCTGAACCCAGGAGGCGGAGGTTGTGGTGAGCTGAGATCGCGCCATTGCACTCCAGCCTGGGTAACAAGAGCGAAACTCCGTCTCAAAAAAAAAAAAAAAAAAAAAAATAGTTTGAGAGGAAAGTGAAAATTTAGAGTGAAGTCATCAAGGACTTTTTTTTTCATAAATATTTGTTAATACTTTTTTACTAGTAGACGTATATTTGCTGGGTGCCCATCAAGTGATGCTCTGTATAAGAAGCTGATTAGTTACAGTTCATCAAGTGTCTGTGGCCAGCTTGGCATAACCTTAGGTGGAAATGGAGGCAGTTTACCTCCAACTGAGGCAAGTCCATTTTTCCTAGTTTGAAGCATAGAACTGCTACTTGCTGGGTAGTTATTTGAGAAAAGGCAATTGTGGGCAGGAGAGCGCTCTCTATAGGAAGCTTGTCACCTGCATGAAGCAGGACAAATCAGGACAAGGTTCAGAGGATAAGCATGTAGAGAAGACAGAATGAGTGTAAGCTGTTGAATGGCAATTTGTTTTTTTTATGTGTGTGAAGGAGTTACTCTTTGCCTTTTTAAGGGAAAGGGTCCCAGAAGGTTTCAGCCCTCACCTAAGAATACCGGTCCCAGAGCCACAGTCAAAGCGGAACTCCACGTGGCCCTCTGCCATGTTGATGGACAGGAAGTCTTTGCTGTCTGTGTCATAGCTGTACAGGAGGACACCGTTTCCTGAATCTGGCCGAAATGTGATCTCAAACTCCATAAAGGAAAGGTAATGCTGGGGCTCCAGTGGCCAGGGCGTTGCAGCGTAGGATCTCAGAGACTCTCTGAATTGCGGAATGGTCAAGGTGAAAGCTGAAGAAACAAACACTGTGTTAGAAATCCCTCTGTGGCGGAAACTGACCCAATGTGCACCCATAGCTGTGTTCTTTTCTTCCTGGATCAGACCTCAACTACAATTCCCAGCAGCCCTACAATAGCTTGGTGGTGTGACTGAATTCCGGCGAATAGAACATGTGTGAAAGAATCACACGGTCTGGCCCCTAAAACTTCCCTCCATCCTCCATGTTCTTTCTCCCCTCTCACACGCTGGCTGGATGCAGCTATCAGTGGAGGACTCCAAGTCCCCAGAAGAGCCATTAGATGGCAGAAACCTGCGTCCCTGTATAACTGTGTGGAGCAGAACCCCTCTCTTACCACCATCTCTGCAGTGATTTTGTAATGTGAGCAAGAACCAGCTTTGATTATGTAAGACTACTGAAGTATGAGATGGTATGTAACAGCACTGGCTTACCCTGACTCACATGCCCTCTTTTAGGTGACACGTGGTTTGAGATTACAAAAGTTTTCCCCAGTATGGTATCTTAGGTCTAAATCTGAATTAGGGAAGAATTTGACTAGTTTTGTAATCTTAGCCTCAGTTTTACTTTCTTTTTATTTTAATTTTAGAATTCTGGAAAACTGATTTTTCAAAATCATTTTTGGACTCCTCCATGATTTTCCAAAATCTTTGAAATTTTCTGTTATCATTTGCGTGTGTGTGTGCACATATGTGTATTTGTGTGCATGCGTTTCTATGTATATATATACATATGTGTGTACATGCATATGGTTACATATTCTGTGTATATACAGTATTAAAGTGTGAAATAATTCGGTATAACAGTACAAAAAAGGTTGCTTTTGTCTCATCACATTGTTAATGTTTCTGTATCTGTGTCTACCTTCCCAATATTTTATTATTATTATTATTATTATTATTTGAGATGGAGTCTCTCTCTGTTGCCCAGGCTGGAGTGCAGTGGTGAGATCTCGGCTCACTGCAACATCTGCCTCCCAGGTTCAAGCAGTTCTCCTGCCTTAGCCTTTTGGCTAGTTGGGATTACAGCTGCTCACTACCACACCCAGCTAATTTGTATATTTTTAGTAGAGAAGGGGTTTCACCATGTTGGCCTCATGATCTGCCCGCCTCAGCCTCCTAAAGTGCTGGGATTACAGGCGTGAGACACCACGACTGGCCCCAGCTTCCCAACTGCTTATCAGAAATTGACAGATACTCTAAAGGGCATAAGCATGAGTTTTAAATATTTTGAATTCAGTCTGATACAAACCATACCAATACAGGCTCTTTAGAAGTCATTCAAGGGCCAAGAGGAGCCCATTCATTCTTGGCATCTTGAAATAAACTTATGTTAGGCTGAGGGACAAAAGATGCCCCATAGTAATAAGTTGTGAAAGGCTCAACACCAGATGAGTGAGTTCTCTTTACCAAACAAATTTTTGTACTCAGAGATGCTCCAACCTGGTTAAAAACAAGTTTTCCCCATCTCTCCCAACAAAACAATGCTGATGCCATACAAATGTATGGGGCTTTATTAGCTTTGCCTAAAGTACATTGATGAGGCCAGCATAGTGGCTCACACCTGTAATCCCAGCACTTTGGGAGGCCGAGGCAAGCAGATCACTTGAGGTCAGGAGTTAGAGACCAGCCTGGCCAACATAATGAAACCCCGTCTCTACTAAAACTACAAAAATTAGCTGGGCATGGTGGTGCATGCCTGTAGCCCCAGCTGCCCGAGAGGCTGAGGCAGAAGAGAATCACTTGAACCTGAGAGGTGGAAGTTGCAGTGAGCCGAGATGTGTCACTGCACGCTGGCCTGAGCAACAAAGGGAGCCTTTGTCTCTAAAAAAAAAAAAAAAAAAAAAGTACACTGATGATAAAGTACATCTACAGGAATTAACATGCAGACAGAAACTCCCATCAACTTGCTTCTTTCTCACCATCTTCACAGTGTCGACCTTTAAACCCAAGGGGACAGAGGCAAATGTAGGAGTCGGCTTTGATTGCTGTGCAGGTGCCACCATTGATGCACGAGGCCTCATCACAGATTCCACTGCTGCATTCCCCTAAATGCAGAACGAGAATTACAAAGCCAATCTGCCATGTGTGCCAGTCCAACACAGTGGCGCTCACTCCACCAGCAGCTCGTGGTTCTGAATAAATACAGTTCGGTTCTTACTCCTGTGGATTTGCAGCCCTGCACAAGTGCAAACAGGCTTTCAGGGTAAGTGGAACCTGCTCTTCACTTTAATTTGATTTTGGTTTTTCCTGTATGAAGAGCCACAGAGACTTTAAAAAACATGATGGACACAATAAATCAAATAATACATTTCTGGGCAATTTTATGACCACTAACTGGGATGACTGAGCTGTTTCTGCTTTAATTCATCTCTCTGTTGCTCCCACAAGAGCATATTTTAATCCCACCAATGTCAACAGGGTGTTTATGTTAAAAGCGTTCTAAATTGCATGACCCCAATTAGCTTAAGTGCTGCTGCCTCGGTTCAAAGTTGAGACAAGCAAGGTAAGCATGGAAGGAGTTACCCAGCCACATCTAAGCTGATTAACACCTGGATTGTGGACTCCTCTGTCTGGGGTAGGGAGCCGGGAGGGAGGGCCCCAGAATACGCTGGCACAAGGGTTTCAGGACCCCTATTTCTACTTCCAAAGTTATACTCTTATGAGGGACAGAAAGGTGGGCTGCAGTCATGAGGGCTGAAAGGCTCAACATCTGATGAGTAAGTTCTCTTCACCCAACAGATCAGAGAGCTACAGAAAGGGTATCCTTTGCCATTTTCAAGTGTAGGTCATCAGAGGAAAACAAACGGACTTTTCATGGGCTGTTTTTCTTCTGCTTCTGTTTTCTCTTTGTGAAAAGAAATCAGTTAGACAGATGGACCACCATCTGGCCCAGAACCACATGAGGGAGTACAAAACACTTTTTCTGGGGGTGGAGGTAGAAGGGTGTTCCTCTGGAAGTGAAGGGTCCAGCTGTGCTCTCTCTGTCTTCAAGGCTGCCCTCTGCATGAGCTGGTAGCCCACCCTGTGACAGCAGGAGCCCTCCTTGGCCTGAGTGTGTCACCTCGGCAAGACGAGTCTCTCACCCTTCCCTCCTTGAATTGGTGGAACCTTTTCATAAAGACTTACTGGGAGGAGGGATAAGGACCAGGCACCCAGGGTAGACCCAGGAGAGGAGACTGTCTTTATGGGTTGCTAGCAGAATTTAATTAAAGCCCTTGCAGATGGCTTGCCACCCCAGATGGGGTGGGCTAGTCTCTGAATTCCAGCTGGTGGCTACTGGCTGTTCACACAGACATGACCAGTGGTCTTCAGCCACAAACCTAAGTATGTCATTCCCAACATTCACAGTCTCTACAGAGATGCTGGCTGACTTTGATCTTAAAGAGCCAAATTCTTAAAGGTCCCTGAGCCCCATCAATTTCTGTGGGTTGTGATTCTTTCATAGAGCTTGGCTGGATCCACAGGAAGAAGTAGGGTCCCTTTGTTATTTTAGATGTACAGAGATGAATTACTTTACAAATCTTCTGCATTTTAACTATTTTAAAGAGGTGTGGGTGGGGTAGGAGAGGTCATGAAAGCTAGACGGAAGTGCTGACTTGGTGAAAGCAGCGTTTCAGCAAGATTACTCTAGGAATGGCATGCAAGACAGACTGATGAGTGACGGGTGGAGGAGAGGAAAGAAGTCCTATAGGGGGGTGACCAGGGTGGCCACAAAGAAAACGGAGAGACTGTGAAGGATCAGACACCCAAGGAAGGATGAAGTGAGAGATTCATTCTAGAGGTTGAAGGGGCAAGAAGACTCCTCCAGCACAATCTCAACGTTTGTAGCTTGGAAAACTAAAAGAGTGGTACAGGAGGGAAGAAATGAGGGTGGCTGTAGACAGAAACTGGCTTCTGTGAAGCAAAGGGAGAGGCTGCTTTGGTTGGATTTAAGTCTATGATGACTGTGGAAATACTCAGTACTGGTAGCAGGCCTTGAAAGAAAGGAGAGAGGTTCCCAGAGTTTCCAAACCAGTGCAGGCACAGGGTTACACAGGGCATGGCACTGTGTGAACTGGAGAGAACCAGAGCACAGGAGAATAAGCCACCGCAGGGGTTCTGTGAACCTAGATGGAAAAAATACGGCATCTCTCTTTTCCGTAGCCTCTGCCTGGAGCAGGGTATGTATTTCCTTCAACTTTCAATGCAGGCAAGATACTTCTAGTATTAGTAGTTCTAGTGACTTGTGACCAATAGACCTCACAGTTGTTGCCACATTCCATTTATTGCAGATATTTCAAAGCATCATTTATACTTGTTGCTACTTTAAAGTCATGGGAGCTATTTCACCCACCATTAAATAATCCTGTTCCGGTCGGGCGCGGTGGCTCAAGCCTGTAATCCCAGCACTTTGGGAGGCTGAGGCGGGTGGATCACAAGGTCGAGAGATCGAGACCAACCTGGTCAACATGGTGAAACCCCATCTCTACTAAAAATATAAAAAATTAGCAGGCTGAGGCAGGAGAATTGCCTGAACCCAGGAGGCGGAGGTTGCGGTGAGCCGAGATCGTGCCATTGCACTCCAGCCTGGGTAACAAGAGCGAAACTCCGTCTCAAAAAAAAAAAATAATAATAATAATAATAATAATAATAATACTCCTGTTCCTTAATGCTTTATAAGAAGCACATATATTATTATAAAAGCCTAACTTAAAAAATATGTGATATAGCTGGGTTTCAATATAATTGTTTCCCCTTAGAATGTTATGTATATTATTTTTCTGCATTTAAGAACATCATTATGAGAAGAGGTCCATGGCCTTCCTCAGACCACCAAAGGGGGCTGCAATGCAAAAAAAGTTAAGAAATCCTGGGCTATTGAGAAGAGAGAACCCTAGCAGCAAGGGCTCAGGGAAGCCAGAAAGGCTGAGCGGAGAGTGTAGCTGAATAGGTTCGTTTTAGGAGGAAAACTCTCAACTCAGAGTGATGGGAAGGAGAGGTGGGTGTGGCAAGGTCACGTGTACACGGACCTCATCATCAATATGTAAAGTTACTTTCACCAGCGCCTACCATAGGGCAGCTGTGGTGTAGGTTTCTGCTAGATAACAAAGCGAGAGGTAGAAGAGAAATAAGACTCCTAAGGAGGGGAAAGAACGTGGAACATCATTGGGTGGAATTCCTTAAAGAGACCATGAACAAGAAGAAACATCCCAGTCCTCAGCCCCCAACCCATAACCAAGGCCCACCTATTTCTCCCCCAGTGATTTGTCAGATCCGTCTCGGTTTCCACCACCACCACCAGCACCTAGATCAAACCATCATTTGTCATGAGACCTACTGCACTAAACTTCAGCTGGTCTACATGTATCCCTGAAAGCCCCTTCCAATTGGCTGTCAGAGGATCTTCTCAAACCACAAACTACATCATGGCACCCATCTCCCTGCTCCTATTTCCCTGGAACAAGCCCTTCCCTATGCCTGGAATGTCCTTCCCTCCCTTCTCCACCTTTTCACGCCTACTCTTGCTTCATATTAACTTCCTCTTCTGAGAAACTCATTCCCCGCCCTCCAGGCCCTAAAACCTCCCTATTTAACATCATTGCACTGTCACTTCTTCATAAACACTTACCCCAGGTGTAACTTCACCTTCACTGTGTGATTATTATATTAATTTGGTCTCTCCTCATGGCAGCCGTATGAGGGCTGAGGTGGATCCTGTCTTGTTCATTACTTGATCTTCAGCACCCAGCATTGTGACAAGCACCAAGCAGGTGCTCAGTGAAGTATTTATTGAGTGAAATGAGGAAAAGAACTGGTCAGCCATGGTGAGAACCGTGGTCACCACGGACCTCTTGAATTTCAAATACCTTGGGAAGTGGCCCTGTGACTGCTCCAGCAGAATGGGGTGATCCAAGACAGGATTGGCATACATGAGTGGCAGAAATATAGCTTTGAGAATCTGAATGAAAAGAATCAAGAGCTGGACCAGAGAATGCAAAATTTTCTGAGACTGCTGACTGACTATTCTAGAATGTGACTTTCAGAGCGCACAGGAGCTGGGAACAGTCTAATGAAAGACAGGAGATGAAGTAGAAGGAACTGAGTAATGAAAGGCCCCTCTGGGGAATGAATGAGTTTAGTGGGAAGGCAGAAAAAAAGTCACAGTTGAAGATGGCAATGCCAAGTTAGAGAGATCGGATGGGGAACCATGACCTCCCTGGTGAGGCCACATTTGACTTATAAAAACTGGAATTTCGGGAGGACTAACTCAAAAGACAGCAAGCATGGAAGCTGAGGAAGGATAACCAGTCCCACCCTTATAACCCAGAGGAAATAAAATGGGAGGAACTGTAAATCACCAACATGGCTGACACATGCCATTAATAATCACAGTCATCTCTACAGTAATCCAGTAGCCGTATCCAGGGAGCTGGAGCCCTCAGGGTGGTCCTTCTGGTGCCATCCTGCTGGAGAAGTTGGTATCTTACTGTGTGGGAATTAAAGCTGGCACAAATCAGTTCTTGCCCACTCTGCAACCTCTGAGCTACCTGTTAGAGGTTGTCATGCCATCTCAGGACTGCTGGCTTATTCAGGGAGTGTTTTCCTGAAGAAACAGATTATAGCTGATTTGATGGGTAGGGGTAGAATATTAATAATAATATAAAAAAGCAGGAAACATTTATGAAATGTTTGCAATGGGCAAGGCCCTATTCCAAGTGCTTTTTATGCACAACTCATTTAAACAAAATAAACTTATAAGGTCGATACTATTTCTAGATGGGGAGACAGGATTGCAAAAATTTGTCAAATCCAGGGACTCTGCCTTCAGAGTCCAGGCTCTTAAACAAGGCATGTGACTCCTGATGGGACTGCTGATTCTGAATCATCACAGAGAGAAGAGGAATTTTTGGAGACACTGTCCTACCATAGTGACAGCTTCCATAATTGTTTCAGTCATTGCTGCTTATTGTTTACTTTGACCAAGTAATCAATGGATGGTAAACTTTTCTTGTTAAGTAAACTCCAACTTTTGTAGTTATAACAATGGCATCACTTATAGGAGTGAACAAGGTGGAGGGAAACAATTTGGTAGCTGTAGTTGATTTTGTTAAGAGGGTTGGCCCTGGTGCCAGGATGGTTAAGGTCACATTGGGCTCTACCGCTTATTAGCTGTGTGGCCTTGGGTGAGTTACTTAACTGTTCTGTACCATTGGTTTTTTTGTTTTTTGGTTTTTTTTTTTTGAGATGGAGTCTTGCTCTGTCACCCAAGCTGGAGTACAGTGGCACAGTCTCAGCTCACTGCAACCTCTTCCTCCCAGGTTCAAGCAATTCTCTTGCCTCAGCTTCCTGGGTAGCTGGGATTACAGAGGCATGCCACCACACCTGGCTAATTTTGTATTTTTAGTAGAGACAGAATTTCACCATGTTGGTCAGGCTGGTCTCCAACTCCTGATCTCAGGTGATCCACCTGCCTCAGCCTTCCAAAATGCTAAGATTACTGATGTGAGCCACTACACCTGGCCCCACTGGTTCTTACCTGTAAACTAAGACTAATGTCAGCACCCACTTCATAATAACCTTGGAAAGATCAAAGTAATTTAGAATGGTGCTTACTTAAAGTAGGTGCTCAACTAATATTAGCTACAAGAAAAAAACAAAACAAAAAGCTGTTCTGGGAGTCATGAGGATCGAATCCTACCTCTGATTGAGGAATGGAGAGAGGGATGAATTGATATGTGGTCAAGAAAATGCAGCAAAATGTTAATGGCGGAATTTAGAAAGTGAGACTGTGGTGTTCACTGTGCATTCTTTCAAAGCAGCCTCTTAGAGAGGGAGGGAAAAGAGACTCAAGGAAAAGACTTGCCATTTCTTGCCAAGGACAAAGTCACAAGGATGTGGTACTTGATGTAGTGAGTGAAAAGGATGAATATCAGAGAGACACCAACTCAGAGTCCTGAAATCACAGAGACCCTGTTACGGACTGAACTGTTTTTTCCCCAAAATTCACAGTTGAAGACCTAACTCCCTGTATTTGGAGATAGTATCTTTAAGGAGGTATTTAAGGTTAATTGAGGTCATAAGAGTGGGGACCTAATCCAGTCTGATTGGCGTCGTTAGAGGAGGATATTTGGACACACAGAGAGCTACCAGGGGTGTGCATGCATGGGGGAGAAACCTGTAAGCACACAGCGAGAAGGCGGCCATCTGCAAGCCAAGGAGAGAGGCCTCCCCAGAAACCAACTTGGCTGGCACCTTGATCTAGGACTTCCAGTCTCCCAAACTGTGGGAAAATTAATTTCTGACGTTTAACTTACCCAGTCTGTGGTATTTTGTTATGGCAGCCCTACTAGACAGGCCCTGAATTAACCAAACTTGGATTTATCTACCTGCTGCCTTCAGTGATAGAATTAATGTCCTTATTGCTTTTAAAAATAAGCCTACTTTCTTCTTCTATAAAATGGGCATGATAATAATTTCTACCTCTTAGCGTTAGCGTGAGGGTAAATGAGAGAGCGTATGAGAAGATGTTTGGCACAGTGATCATGAATTAGGATTTAACCACTTCTTTTAGGAACAGAGAGTCTATGAAAGCTCTTCTTACATTACTGTGTTGGCTCTTCCACTGGTCTGGGTGGGGTAAGGTAAAAGGGCTAGATCGCTTGTTGCTTTGTTCAATAAGACCATGCCATATTTCATGATGAGGCCCAAGATGCTAGCAGGACACAACCAGGGTTTGATGCACCATACTGTTATACTGTTACCATATCTTGGTGTTCAGACACAGGGTCACAGGTCTGCAGAGCACCAACCTCACCCCTGGGGCCCACCTCCCCACTGAAGTTCTGCAGGTACCAGCTTCCCAGGGTGGTACCTAATGTTGCTGCTCCCTCTCTGGCCCAAGCCTGGAAGGCAGTCTCATAAGACATAAGTCCCGTAAGAGTACCCCAACTCACTGGGCAGCCACTTACCCACATCAGCCCCACTGAGTGCTTTTCCCAGGGGCCAGGGCCTCATGTCGATTCTCCGCCCATTAACAGCGAGCAACTGCACACAGCCTTGAAAGCCTCGATTTGTTCCTGTTGCTCTGACCAACCAGTAAGCACTGGGAGCCCCACCAAGGTAGAGAGGTGTCCGGAAGGTAATTTTACTGTACTGGCCCTTTAAGAAAGATGAACAGTCCTGAACACTCTCACTAAACCAAATCACAAGCCAAAACACAACAGATTTTTATGAGGGACGTGGTTAAGACATCTGTAACAGCCCCAGCATTTTCTTCCATGTGTATTTTTCAAGACCTTGGCTTACTGGAAAATTAAACCCATGATTACCGGAGGGAACTCATTGAGGTTCTCAGAGGGCTGTGCTTTCAGAAGGCAGGATTTTGGAATGCCGAGAAGGGAAGGGAAGGGAGGTCAGAGCCACGCCCGACCCACCAGGCAGGGGACCATGCTAGGCATCCAACAAAAACGTTCTCTTTCCAGTCCTGACACCGGTTGACTGTGTACTTTGGAAGGGTCTTAGGGCTATTCTGTGCCTCCAAAGGTGATGATATTAATTTTGTATACAGTGGGCTAACAATTACCCTTTCACTGTCCTAGTCACCTTTATACTATATCCTGAGAGAAACATTGTGGGGGGAAATTACCAAACAGATTATGATCCAAAGTGTTTTGAAATTTGCTTATGAATATGACTTTTTTAAAAAGTGTTGTTAAAGTGAGGTAGGGAAACTTCCCATCTTAGACCAAACCACAATCTGGATTACAGGCTTTAAGGTTACAAAATACAGAGCTGAAGATTAGGTGGGACAAAATTAAGTCACCCTTGGTCTTTTTTTATGATCAAAATATCTCATTCATTTCCATTACAGGATAAGGAAGGGTGTCAGGGAAAGGCATGCTGCCAGAACTTATAAAATGTTCAGAGTGTAAGACTCTGAAACCTAATCTTTATCCTTTAAACTTCTGTTACCAGCAAGTAGAAATCCAATCATTGTTTTATCTTTTCTGATGAAGAGATAAGAATCATTTTTAAATAGCAGACTGAACATGAGCTAGGCAGTGGGTTTTCAGGGTCAGTTACAGTCCGCCAGCCACTGAGCATGCTGCTTTTATTAGATGAGTTAAATGTCCTCTTGGCTTCTTTCACCAAGATTCTCAGAATTCACTTCTTTGGATCCCATCCTGGCCCTTCCAGTCTTGTTCCCTGATTTAGGACCACAGCAGGAGTCCTGACAGCGCCATCGTTTTCTAGAGCATAAAGTGTCTTGTAGGGGTGGGTGGCTACTTTGCTGTGCCCTTTGCAAGATCCCGGGGAATAGTCTTCAAACCTGGCTTTTATATTTCAGATGAGGGTTGCCTTCTGATCCCTGGAGCCTGCTTTGCCTGCCTGTACACAGAAATGGAAGTGCCCTGGAATTCACATTCTCTCAGGACAGCCCTTAAGAGTTTGGGATGGGTCTGAGGTATAATTTACACTCCAGAGCTCCTCTGCTGAATCAGGCAGAAGCCATACTCTGAAAAATGTGGCCTGAGATCTCACTCTTGCTGATATCCTCTTCTTCCCTGTCCACCTCCTCTCTCTTAGCCATTTCTCCTGGGAGCACTTTCTTAATGCATCACTGGCACAGGACTCCACATCTCAGGTCTGTTGCTGGGGGAATCCCACTTAAGACAGAATCACCATCTCTCAAAACAGCTTATTAAATATCCACATCTGTGGTCCTGCTTTACAACTTGCTTAGCAAGTCTCAGTAGCATGGAGGCAATCTTTGGCCTGAGTATCCGTAAAGCTACGTGCTTCTTGCAATTAATTCTTAAAATAAAAGGATGGTGATATGGCTTGGCTATGTTTCCACCCAAATATCATCTTGAATTGTAGCTCCCATAATCCCCACATGTCATGGGAGGGACTCAGTGGGAGGTAACTGAATCCTGGGGGCGGTTACCCTCATGTTGTTCTCGTGATAGTGAGTTCTCATAAGATCAGATAGTTTTTTCCCCCTTTGCTCAGCACTTCTCCTTGTTGCTGCCATGTGAAGAAGGGCACGTTTGCTTGTCTTCCACCATGATTGTAAGTTTCCTGAGGCCTTCCCAGTCATGCAGAACCATAAGTCATTTAAACCTCTTTTCTTTATAAATTACCCAGTCTCAGGTATTTCTTCATAGCAGTGTGAAAATGGCCTAACACAGATGGGGTCTGCCCATGTTACCCAGGCTGATGTGTAGGGCTATTCATAGGTTCAGTCATGGCTCAATGCAGCCTTGAACTCCTGGGCTCAAGCAATCCTCCTACCTCAGCCTCACAAGTAGTTGGAACTACAGGTACGTGCTAACACACCCCCCACTTTTTGTTTTTTCTTGGAGACAGAGTCTCACTCTGTTGCTCAGGCTGGAGGGCTGGAGTACAGTGGCACCATCTCAGTTCACTGCAGCCTTGACCTCCTGGGCTCAAGTGATCCTTGCTCTTCAGCCTCTCAAGTAGCTGGACTACAGGCATATGCCACCACACCTGGCTAATTTTTCTATTTTTGGTAGAGATGACGTTTCACCATGTTGCCTATGCTAGTTTCAAACTCCTGAGCTCCAGTGATCCTCCTGCCTCAGCCTCCCAAAGTTGTGGGAATTACAGGTGTGAGACACTGTGCCCAGCAATTAATTCTTTTTTTTTTTTTTTTTTTTTTTTTTTTTTGAGACAGAGTCTTGCTCTGTTGCCCAGGCTGGAGTGCAGTGGCACCATCTCAGCTGACTGCAATCTCCACTTCGCAGGTTCAGGTGATTCTCCTGCCTCTACCTCCTGAGTAGCTGGGATTACAGATGCCCACCACCCACACCCAGATAATGTTTTTATATTTTTATTGGAGACAAAGTTTCACATGTTGGCTAGGCTGGTCTTGAACTCCTGACCTCAAGTGATCCACCTGCCTCGATTTCCCAAAGTACCAGGATTAGAGGCGTGAGCCACCGAGCCTGGGTCAATTAATTCTTATATTCATTAAAATCATAGAATCTTGAGATGAACAAAAAATATAATAACTCTTAAAATTCAAGCCCTCACTGGCTGTTGGATTCCTGGTACATCCCTAACAAGAAATTTAGATAAATTATCCTTTGAACACCCCACAAGGATACCCGTCTCTCCTGAGATAGTCTGTTGCACTTCTTTCTCTTTGCATGATTAGGTGATGCTAAAATCGACCTCCTGAGGCTCATCCCATTCATTCAGCTTCAGACTTGGGGGTCCATGGAGTAAATCTTTCTTTCCCAAGACTCTCCTGTTAATTCTGTAATGAAAAGCTGCCTTGCATGCTTTCATCTTCTCTTCTCCAAACTAAACACTGCTCCTTCAATCAGTCACCGAAGGGATTTCAAGTCATCTTCCCACTTGGGTGACAACCCCTGGAATATGTTCTAGTGTGTCTGTGGCCTTCTTAAAATGTGATCCAGACGTGAATGTAATCCTCTCAAAGGACTAGAGTCAACAGTGGAGTCACTAGAAGCTATCACATAGTCACCACAATAGAATAAGATCATCACCTCCCTTGTTTAGATGCTATGACTCTATTAACACAGCCTATAATTTCTTTAGCTTATTGTTTCCACATGACCCTGTCTGTTAATGGTTATGAAACTTCCCCACTTTAAAACCATTAGACATTTTCACAGGCTCCTATTGTAGCTTCCCATTTTGCCTTTGTGTTAGTATTTTGGACCCAAGCTAGAAGTTTCTCTATTCCCAGCCAACTAACTTTTATCATGTTAGGCCTATAGTTCTGGCACTGATGTAGTTCATTGACCCTGTCTTTTTCTTACTGAGCCATCTGATCATAAACAATCTCCCTGGACTCACATTTACTAAATTTGAATCTTGTTCATTTGGAACCAGTGGGATTGAAATTAATGAGATATTTTCTTCCATTTTTTGGAAGGCAGGGTATCAGCAAGGCATGGCCCTTTGTATCAGGGTCCCCAATCCCTGGGCCATGTAGGCATACCAGTCTGTGGCCTGTTAGGAGCTGGGCTGCACAGCAGGAGGTGAGTGGAGGTGGGGTGAGTGAGCACTACCGCCTAGCTCCGCCTCCTGCCAGATCAGCCGTGCCACCAGATTCTCATAGAAGCACAAACCCTATTGTGAACTGCACATGCGAGAGATCTAGGTTACACGCTCCTTCTGAGACTCTAACCGTGCCTGATGATCTGAGATGGAACAGTTTCATCTGAAACCATCCCCCAACCCCAGTCCAGGGAAAAATTGTCTTCCACAAAACTGGTGCCTGGTGCCAAAAAGGTTGGGGACCGCTGCTTTATATAACATGTCTTGCTGGCAAAGAGTAGAGAGGAGCCCAGGCAGGAAGGAAGATACAGGCATATACACAAAGGTTCTCTTGCTACATTTTTCCTCAGAGAATACAGACACCTGCCTGATTATAATTACAGGCTCAGTTCCTTGGCAGGCTGCTAATCCAAACTGTTTATTCTGAACACAGTCCTAAAATTGCCCAGACCATAACACATATGTGAATACTAGGTGATTTGCTGAGTAGCCCGACAGTCTAATTTTTTTTTTTTTACGATTTCCTACAATTATGCCTCCCCAACAAGGGTAGATGAACAGCTTATTCCTGCATTTTGAACCAAGTGAACCTTTCAAGACTATCTTCTAAAGCCACAGGATTTCAACACCCCTGCCTTGAAGCAAGCTTTGGGTTTGACACTAATAATGGGTTCTAGGCCGGGTGTGGTGACTCATTCCTGTAATCCCAGCGCTTTGGGAACCCCAGGTGGGAGAATCACTTGTGTCCAGGAGTTCAAGACCAGCCTGGCAACAGAGTGAAACTCTATCTCTACAAAAAACAAAAGAAATTAGCCAGGCATGGTGGCACATGCCTGTAGTTCCAGCTACTTGGGAGGCTGTGGTGGGATGGTTTGAGCCAGGGAGTTAGAGGCTGCAGTGAGCCATGACTATGCCACTGCACTCCAGCCTGGGGGACAGAGTGAGACCCTGCCTCAAAGTAATAATAGTAACAATGGGTTCTACTCTTCCAATATGAGCCTTCTTCTACCGCTGGCTTTGATGTACTCAGGGAAAGAGAATTTGTCCTTGGGCACAGGCCTGCAGCATGTAACTGTGTACTAACAGCAATGATGCTTCCAAGTTTAATCCCTCTCTTCGGTAGATGTGGGGTGGATGTGTGCCCTGAAAGCTCTCCTGGAGTGCAAGAGCACACAGGAGCACATCAAAGGTCTGTTGCATGGGCTCACCATGAGAAATGGACCTCACCAACCCAATCAGAACTTGAATCATGCAGACTCTGCCATGGCTCCCTGCAGTGAGCCCCTCTCAGGAGGCTTCTGGTGGGCAGTAGGTGGGGTGGGCAGGGCATGGGGCTCACACTCACCTGGGACTGACCCGTCACCGGGGTGCCGTTGTTTAGCTGCAGCAGCCCGTTCTGTCCATCTCTGTAGAGCATAACCGTGTGCCAGCCCCCCAGTTTGATTTTGGTCTCACTTACAATGATGGCAACCCCAGTTCCACAATTAAACCTGTTTGGGGAGAAAGGGAAAAGAAGATTCTTTGATTAACCAGCTTATTATGCTTTCAGACTCCATGGACATCACTTCTAGGACAACAGCTCCTTTCAGAGTCAATCCGTTAAGAGTTATGTTTATGAATATCAAGCGCTGTTGAAATCAACACACAGAAGAACTAGGCACCTCTTCCTGAGGATGATCTCCATCTGGTAATCTTTCATCTGCCCATAGGACCTTTCAATGTAGGGCCTTCGTAAACTTGATTTTTTTCTGGAGCTTAGAAAATGATGTGCATATAGGTACTGTGCTTGCTACCTGTGTGATGGGATCTGTACCCCAAGCCTCAGCATCACGCAGTATTCCCATGTAGCAAACCTGCACATGTACCCCCTGTATTTAAAATACAAGTTGACATTACGCTGGGCATGGTGGTTTACGTCTGTAATCCTAGCACTTTGGGAGGCCAAGACAGGCAGATCACCTGAGGTCAGGAGTTCAAGACCAGCCTGGCCAACATGGTGAAATCCCGTCTCTACTAAAAATACAAAAATTAGCTGGGCATGGTGGTGGGTGCCTGTAGTCCCAGCTACTCCAAAGGCTGAGGCAGCAGAATCACTTGAACCCAGTAGGCAGAGGCTGCAGTGAGCTGAGATCGCACCACTATCTAGATGACAGAGTGAAACTCTGCCTCAAAAATAAATAAATAAAAATAAAAAAGAAAGTGGAAATTTTAAAAAGCTTGGCACAGTGGCTCATGCCTGTAATCCCAGCACTTTGGGAGGCCAATGCAGGCAGATCACTTGAGATCAGGAGTTCGAGACCAGCCTGGCCAACATGGTGAAATTCCATCTCTACTAAAAGTACGAAAGTTAACCAAGCGTGGTGGTGCATGCCTGTAATACCAGCTACTCGAGAGGCTAAGGCAGTAGAATCACAGCTACTCGAGAGGCTAAGGCACTTGAACCCAGGAGGCAGAGGCTGAAGTGAGCCAAGAGTGTGCCACCCACTGCACTTGAGCCTGGGCAACAGAGACTCTGTTTCAAATAAATAAATGAATACATAAATAAATAAACAAATAAAATTAATGAAAGGTGATAGCTAATCCGTATCCCATTTTCTTTTTTCTTTTTTTTTTTTTTTTTTTTTTTGAGGTGGAGTCTCACTCTGTCACTCAGGCAGGAGTACAGTGGTGTGATCTTGGCTCACTGCAACCTCTGCCTCCCGAGTTCAAGTGATTCTACTGCCCCAGCCTTCTGAGTAGCTGGACTACAGGCACACACCACCATGACCAGCTAATTTTTGTATTTTTAGTAGAGACAGGATTTCACCATGTTGGCTAGGATGGTCTCAATCTCCTGACATCATGATCCACCTGCCTTGGCCTCCCAAATGCTGGGATTCCAGGCGTGAGCCACCACACCCAGCTTCCATTTTCTTTTAACCAGAAGTAGATGATTACTTCTGCTCAGAAAAAAATTTAGCCTTCTCTGTTTCTGAAAAGGACAGGACCCATAAGAAAAGTAAAGGAAAGATCATAAGAAAGTAAAAAAGAAAAGAAAGTGATGGGCAACTAAGGATCTCCTTCTTGTTTTCAGTGATTGTCAAATGTCTAAAGTGAATTCAAGGTACAGTGAATTAGAATGTGAGTCACTCTGCTTCCAGGGATTTCTCTGGGGACTTTCCCTGACTCTCAAATAACAGGCTCAGTGATACTAATAAAATATAAAAGTCCAGGTCTTCACACTCATTTTGGCAAGCTGGCCAGCCCCGACATCTGTGCTTAGCTGTACCCAAATACAGGTGAGGTCCATAGGAGGCTCAGGGGCGAGGTGAGATGGAGGAGGAGCGTCCTCACATGGCTGCATTATTCTTGTTTTCTTCCCAACCTCCCTATGACCCAGGAGTGCTCACAGTCACTATGCCTAACAGGGGGAATCTTGGACCTTTCTGCTCAAATTCCAAATAACCACCAGGCCCCTTCCACCTGGATCCTGAGACTGCCTGTGGGGAAGGAGTCGTGGCTGGCATTTTCCTTACTAGGATTTTCATTAACTGCAGCCACTCTCAGGCCCTCCTTTTGTCTCAAGATCATCAGTGAAGTGAGATGCAGTTAAGAGGGATTGTGGGACAGGCTTAACCAGAGGAGGATAACAGATTCACTCAGGAGGAGTTGCATAGTTGGAGGACTGCTACCAGCTACCAGCTGCCAGTGCTACTAAGAGTCTATCTGATCCTCAAAGTGCTAGAAGCCCACAGGCTAAACACCGCTACCCAAGATCCTGGTGGCTAACACCAAACTTCCACGAATCACGTCACTTAGCAAAGCATGGAGACCCATTTTATAGCCTAAGTGGGATGTTCAGAAGTCTTTTTCAACCTAACCGAAAACACATTTTATGCTGAAAGTAATTTAAGAAGACAATAATGGTTGACGCTTATTGAGTACTTGCTCTGGGTCACCACTTTTATGAATTAACTCATATAACCCTCACAATAGTCCCATGAGGACACGCAGGCTTGGAGAGGTTGCGTCATACGCTGGAGGTCAGGCAGCAGGGGGTTGGTGCCATGAGGATGTCAACCAATGCACCACAGAGAAGGACAAGGCTGGTGCCCATTGGTTGTTCACAAAGAGGAATAATGCATACCTCCACGAGAATCTTTAAAACTCCTCACCCCTCCACAAAACTCTGCCCCCCAGAAAACCACACATAAGCTGAAGGTGTCTTCCAGAGTGTGTTGAGAAATGATGAGGGCAGTGGAGGCCAAAGAGCTCCCCAGCACAGCACAGAGGAAGATAAGGGTGGGAAATCCATGGGAGGTTGTAGGTTCCTCTTGGTCCACACCTGTTGGTCACATTTACCAAAAGGAGATGAGAAGACTCCAGCTTTCTTCCCATCACATCCACTAGAGCTCCAGAGAAAAGGGACTGTATTCCTTTGGCTCACTCTCCATCCTTGGGATCGATAGCAGTGCCAGGTATACTGTAAATGCTCAAGAAACATTCAGCAGCACCTACAGCACCAGATATATTCAACATCCCCTCCAGAGCCATGTATATTCAACAGCATCTCCAGAGCCAGGTACACTCAGCACCACCTCCAGAACCAGGCACATTCAACAGTACCTCCAGTGCTAGGTACACTCCAGGTACTGCTGAGTCAATGAATGATTACAAGGTTCCAAAACTCAAGTTTTATAGGTTATTCTGCAATTCCAGTACCCTAGTATTTGGTAAACTGGTTCATGCTCATTTTATACAAACCGTTCTTTCATCTACCAGAATCTATCCTGTATATATTATTTTCATACTACAAAAATGCAAATACAATGTAAGATAATGTAACAACGAAAAAAAAAAGTGTGAGGCTTTTGGCAGGAATTACCTGAACTGGAGGGAGCGTCGGATGATAGCCAGGGACATGAAATCCCCTCTCCCGTGTTCATTCTCCCCACAGTAGAGCAGTAAGCCATCCTCTGCCTCTGCCTGTGATCATACAGACAAAAGCCACATGAACAGTAAGCACCTCCCCTTCCATAAAGCGCCATCTGGAAAAACTCACAAATGTGAAACTTGAGCATTTTCTCCACCATGATCCTATCTACTAAGGGTCACACACGTGGGCTCCAATTTGCTCCCAGATACCTGGTCCCAGTTCATTTTCAATAAACAAATGGCAGTGATATAAACTGTGTGTGGGGTGCAGTGAGGGCAGAGGAAGGTGACCCCATCTTTGACCTGCTCTTTACTTGTCTTTGTGGACACACCTGCAGAGCCTCAGAAAACCAAATGCACAAAGGCCACGGTCACAGTAAGGACGTTGCTGGTGCACATCCAATTCTATTCTCATCAAAGAGCATTCCATGTTTCACTTTGTTCTTTCTATTTCCCTCCCTCTTGGGAGGCATGCAAATTCGCTTCTTCTATCAGAACAGGATGCTAAGAACAGCTCAGCCGAAAGCTGTGCTGGTGGTCTTGGACTAAGACAGGTCATTTCTTGAACACTCAACACTGTGGCCATGACTTCAAGTGGGACTTCTTTACAGACTTCCAGACCTTTCTGTGTCTTTGGAGACACCATAAAAATCAGTTTAAGCTGAGGTCACTGATTAAATTCTTAGCTGCAGCTGATTCAGATCAGAGAAACTCCATTGGGCCCTCATGATGCAAGGGTTGCATAGAGAACTTTTTTTATTCGTTCAGTGACAGCTATCACAATGAAGACACAGAATTGGGTTCTCCTTTTACACAATTTGGAATGAGGAATGCATTGTTTCTTCTCAATCCTGACCCAGGAGAAATCACTATTATGAGCAACACTGCTAGGACCCCGACATTCTCACTTGGAACCTTCACGGCAGCCCCTCTGTAGTCCAGTGATAAAGAAAGCCACCCTCTCCTCACTGTCATACTTGAATATTGTGCATGTGCTCCTCATTCCCACTGTCTCATGAGCGACTTTAGAGACAGGCTCTGTGTCATCTTTACCTTTGATCGCTCTCCCTGCTGCCTCCCTTCCTCTCTCCCAGCCTTTGAATGTAGTACATTGCTGTGTTAAAGTGTCCAAAAAGCACTCATCAAACAACACATCCTCTTACCCTAAATTCAAGAGTAATTTGAAATGCCTGATAGGAGTTCTTCAGAGGTTCAAACGTTACATAGGAGTGGCCAAAGAACTGAGGATACTGGATAACAATATCTGAAGAAGAAAAAAGACCACACAAAAGAATGCTATTTCCTCACTTCTTCAAAAGCAAAAATCAATATACAACATTGCCTGGATACCACTGAGTGAGAACCCTCACTAATCTGTTCAATTTCACTGTCTTTTTTTCTATACTTTTTATATCGACAGTTCTTATTCTTGGAGACTCTGAGCTTCTGAAATTCTTAGGAAGAAGCTGCATTTTTGGAGCCTGGCCCTGGCTTTTCTCAGAAGAAACCAATGGTGTAAGAGCCCTGTCACTTGCCCTCAGCTATAAGGGCCTTTGTGTAATGTAAGTTGGCCCAATTGTTATCCTTCCAAACCCTTGTGTATATGTTTTAGCTGCATATTTTGGTAGAGGTGAGATTATAGTAAAATCTACCTCTCTAAGGGAGTATCAGGATGATTTACTGATTGCTTTAAAGGAACTACACATTTGGCACACATAGAAATAGGGCTGCTGTCTACTTAGAAGCAATGAAAGCTGCCTCACAATTTGCCTTGTATTGCTACTTTAATGACCAGTATGTGGAAGAAGGAACTTATCTTGGAAAAGGGGCTAGAAGGAACTGTTTGGACCACAGAACTGCCTGCTGGTGCTCAATGGTGCCAGTTCATCACCACATTCTTCCTCTCCCCCAAGGACCTACCTTCTGAGCAGCTCTCACCACCTTTGCCCAGGTTGCAATGGCATCGCGAGCCCCCCCAGGTGTAGTCATTGACACAGAAGCTGTCGGCAGGGCAGAGAGTTTCATCACAAGGCACGTCAAAGAGCCTTGACATCATGGCCACACTATTCTTCCCCTTCCTCTCTCCAGGGATGGGCTGGGGAGCCACTGTGGTCACGGGGAGAGATGCTGAGGTAGGAGGGACAAGCCTGGAAATGGTCTTTGGGTTAGATATAGATATCCTCTTGCTTTCCACCAAAAATTTCTTCTTCCCTCCTTTGGTAGCAGGAAGTGGTTTAACCTAAAGCCAGAAAAGGAAAGGGATGAACGCAGGGCACGGCAACTGGACTACTTTATTTATAATTGCTGCCTAGCACTTGAAACATGGTCACTCCCCAAAACCCTAGGATGGAGATGGGCAAGATAGCACTGACTCCAACTTATGGACAAAGGGCTCGATGCTTAGGGACTTTCAGTGCCTTTCCCTGTATTACTCAGAAAATCAGCAGTAAAGCTGATATGACATGATTTATTCTTATTACAATATTATGAAGATGCATGACTTTGTCAAGGAATTGTTCATTTCCTTATAATACCTGCTTTTCTGAAATTTCCCTTGATGGGAAATCTAAATATGTTTTTGCCAGATTGTGAAGTCCACAGGCAGGAGCTGCCTATAGAACTTCAGCAGGGCTAGTACATCCCTACCACTAATTTATCAGCCCCTGGAGACTGATCGTCAGAGGAAACAAACCAGTGTTAAAAGCAAATGGGCCCATTTAAGTTTTAAGTAAAATGTTTATGGTCCATTGGCTAAACTGCCTTGTTCGGCAAGGAAACATAAACACCCTGGGTTTTGAGAGCAGAGATTACTGTTACCTCCTCAAAGGAAATATCCAAATCTAAGTCGTCTTCAAATCCTTCATCATCCTCACCAGCTCCCATGTCGGTGATATAATGGGGTCCATAGCGGCCACTTCCCGCCTCCTCAGGGCCTTCACAAAGAAAAGCAGCGTGCCTTCCATCAGCACAGGCTTCGCACCATGCCTAGCCTAACTCAGCCACAGGCAGAGCTGTACCGAACGGAACGCGGTGTATTGGAAACATAATGACAAATTCAACACAGGAAAGGAAGCATCAATGACCAAAATATATTTAAAAATGTTTTCTCTCATAAGTTATTAAGGAATTGCCCCCCATTGAAACCAGAAAGAGTTTCCATTTTATACTGACAACACTGGCAAAAATGTCAATCAGGTAATAAAAATATTACTAAGGATGGGATCAATGAGGACTCCTACTCACCATACCTGTGTAAACTGGTCCAGCCACTTTGTGAAATACTTGGAAATATTTCATAAAATAGATGTTTGTTCATACCTAGCAATCCCACCCTAACTTACAAAAGCTAGAGAAACTCTTGCACATGTGTACCGAGAGGCATGTGCAAAACAGGTTCATAGCATCAGAATTTGTGATCTTAAAAAATACTCCAAATATGCTATTTATAAGAACAAACAACATCCCAAATGTCCATCAACAAAGAATGACTATGTTAGAATGGAGTACCATATAGTAGGGAAAGGAGTGAATGATCATTTAACATATCAACATGGCTCAATCTGACATGATTTCATGCAAACAATGCAAGCTGCAAAAGAACACATCAGTTTGATGATATTAATATAAAAGACAACGGCAAGCAAAACTATGTATTACTTAAGGATACATGTATACGTAATTTAAACTCTAAAAAAGCAGGACAATCACAAGCACATAAATACCCAAGGGAGGACAGAGAAAGGATGTGAATGAGGTGTGATTCACAGGGGCCTTTGAGAGTGTTCCATAATATTCTATTTCTTAAGGTAAGTGCTGCGTACATGTAAATATTCATATTATTTTTTAATTATATATATATATGTATATATATATATACTTTTGATGTATGAAGTATTTCATTAAAGGGTCTTTAAATCAAGAAGGGAGATTATAGTAAATACTCCCATGATCTCCCCCTCAAAAAAGGGGGCCCTATAGGTATCTTGGGGGCCAACCATTTCATCCATTTTAGCAGGACAACCAAAATCTTTCAGAACTGAAAGCTGGGCTGAGAAAAGCTTTCAGGTGACAATACGGAGCGTTATCCTTTGAGGGACGTTCAGTTGATATTTTTATTCAACTGTCCACGGCGCTCTGATTCAGGCTGCACATAGGAAGCACTCCACCAGGAGGGGGTAGCCTTTCGAAGAGCGGCTCCAGGGCACCTGCATGTCCTCACAGTGGGTTTGGGCCAGCACAGGTAGTAACTTGCTGCCCACTCTCAACTGAACAAACCAGGTACCAGCCTTCAGGAGAGTAACAACTTTGACAACAGAAACTGACTTTGGTAGGTTGCTGATGCCCATTAGTTATTAGACATCCAGTGTTTGGATGACTAGTAAAAAAGAAAAAAAATTACATAAAAAACATAAACTAAAATTAAAGACACTTTGCTTTCAAAATAAGCTAAGTCAAGGACCATTCTCACAAAGGCAAACTCACCCTCGCACTTTGTCCATCCAGGCTGCGATAACAAAAGTACCATAAACGGACAGCTTGTAAACTGCAAACACTTATTTTTCACAGTTCTGCAGCCTGTGAAGTCCCAGCTCAAAGGGCTGGCAGTATCTGGTGAGGGCACAGATGTGCCTTCTCTCTGCATCTGCACATGCTGAAAAGGACAAACAAGCCCCTTTGGGCCTCTTTAATAAGAGCGCTGATCCCATTCGCAAGGACTCCACCCTTATGATCTAAGTACTTCCAAAGGCCCCACCTTGGAGGTTAGGATTTCAACATATGAATTTCAAGGAGACATAAACATTCCGACCATAGCTCTCCTCCAAACAAAACAGCAATTGGATTGAAAATGGAGTGGAAGGAAATGGTAGAAGTCATTTTTGTCAGGGGGTGTCCTGTTGACCAGAAATCAATCTCTTCCTAGGCCAGAAGAGAGAAATGTGGTCAGCAGATGACCCAGAGGCAGGGTGGAGTGAGCTGTTCTCAGGGGTTCAGGCTCATCTTGGTGGAGGTGGGATAACAAAGCAGAGGTGGTTTTCTCCCTGCTTCCACAGCAGCTCCCCAGTTCTATTTAAAGTAGTCACCTGTCAACTGAAAATTCAATGTGTCGATGCCAGTTTATATCTGGATGCAAGTTCTCTCAAGCCACCTGCATGCAGCGTATCTGTGTGCCAGACATCTCCACACAAAAAGCCCTTGAGGACAGCTCCCTCCTCTCATCTCTATCTCTGTACAGCAAGCCGTCCCCCTTATCTGTATTTTTGCTTTCTGCAATTTCAGTTACCCTCAATCAACCACAGTCCAAAAATATTAAATGGGAAATTCCAGAAATAAACAATTTATGAGTAGCATGGTGAGTAGCACACTGCCCTGCTCCGTCCTGCTGGGATATGAGTTATGCCTCTGCCTGGCGTACCCACGCTGCACATGCTCCCTGCCCATTGGTCAGCAGCCGTCTCAGTTGTCAGATTCACCGTGGTGGTATCCAAGTGCCTATGTTCGATTTCATAATAGTCCCACAGTGCAAGAGCAGTGATTCTGGCCAAAAGACATGTCAAAGAGAAGCCATGAAGTGCAACTTTTAAATGAAAAGGTGAAAATTCTCAACTGAATTAAGGGGAAAAAAAAATGAGATGCTGAGGTTGCTAAGATCTTAAGGTAAGGTAAGCACAAATCTTCTGTGAAATTGTGAAAAAGGAAAATGAAATTCACGCTAGTTCTGCTGCACATATAGGGTTCAGTACTATCTGTAATTTTAGGTATCCACTGGGGTTCGTGGAACACATCCCCCATGGAGACAGAACTACTGTATCTCTCTCTCCTGTCCCCTCTCTTTCTCTTTCTCCCTTCTGTGCCTTCCCTTGCTCTACATTTCTATCTCTGCCTCTCTCATATATCAGAATTATTAGATTCCAGAAGAAGAAATCTATTTGGTAGTAAAAGAATCACATAGCAGATACAAAAAACAAACTGGATTTTGTCTTCAGTAAGTTGGTCTCTCTCCATCCAGGGTGTTCTCCCTTGACCTGAGCACCTTCTTGGCACATTCTCAACAATGTTAAGATTCTTTTCATCTTTATCCTATGGTTTTCTAGCTGAAAAATCACCTTCAGTGACTCTCCACTGCCCACAATATAAATTCTAGGCTTCTTGGTCAAGAATTCAAGGTTCTCAAAATAGCTCCTCTTTTCCCTATCATCACGATTTATTGAATTCTACTCCCTTTCCTCTTCCTACCAGGTATTATTAGGTGCTTAACATGATATATTTCTAAACCTTTCAATAATCCTATAAGGTAAGTATGACTAATCCCATTTTGTACATAAGAAAACTGAAACTAAGAGTAGTTAAGTAATTTGCCTAAAATCAAAGAGTTTATAACTGGCTGTGCTGAACTCAAGTCCAAGGTCTGTCTGGTGACTGCTCTCCTAATCACCGGTTACAGAAGAAGCCACTGCGGAGGTGGGAAGATCCTAGAATTTGAGAAAATTACCATATATGGATCATTCTTCATGTGCCAGGAGCTTTTCATACATCACTTAAGTTAATCCTCACAAAATACTATAAAATTGGTGTTATTACTTCCATTTTACCAAGTGGAGATATAGACACAGAGAGATGAAATACCTTGCTCAAAGACAGGCAGATGGGGGATGGCAGGGCTAGCATTCATCCTTGGTCTCTCTTTTTACTACATCATGCTACTTCACTTGAATCCTAATTATGTTTTCAGGTTTTCATTGTTTTTTTAAAAAAATACTCTTTAAAGCTATATAATAGCCAAACTGGTCTACCAGTTGCCTCCTTAATGCAGCTTGTATTTTCTTACCCTAAGATTTTGGTTAATGCTTTTTTCCTATCTTCTCCCCACTCCTATCTCCTTACACCCAGCCTACCTATTATCCCAGGTGGCATGCATTCTGTGGAGACAGACCTGAATGTGTGATGAAAAGACCAAAATAAAGTGACATTCAAAAAAGGAAACAGACCCTTCTGGGGAAAAATGGAGAATCCACAAAGTAAGGAGCCAACAAGACCTGTAGGACATTCCTTCATCTTCTCCTGGATAGGGTGGCCCAGCCATGGATATATGCCTCTAATCGTGAGCTCAGCATAAATGCCCATTGCTTGATAAAGTCAATGCATGCATGTACGTATTCTGGACTCCTGGCCTTAGACTCTTGCCTTTGTGTTTACCAACTCAACTATAAACCCTTTGAGGGCAGAAACCATATTTCAGATTTCTTGATATCCTTTCCCTTCCTCCATGTCACTAACACTTCATGTACTTGACAAAGGTCAACACCTTTGAGAGGAGTGAGAGAAGACACTCCCACAGTGCTGAAGTATGTCCTGCCCTTGCCCAACATGGTGGGACTCTGCCTCCCAATTCAAAGACCCCCAAAACTTCCACCAATCCTGTGCCTTTCTCCAACTCAAGCTACAAGTAAGAATGGAAAGATACCTTAGATACCACCCAGCCCAATCTTCTCATTTCACTAGCATAGAAACCGAGGCCACAGAAGAGAATTGACTTAAAAACAAGACTGTGCATCTCAGGAAAGGAAGCTGTCACTCTAGAACCAGATCATATGACTCCTAGTTCAATATCCATAAGACTCCATCACACTATTTTTTTGGCATCAAGTATCTAGAGATAGTTCCATCTGAAGAACCTGGAACCTAGAGCAGCTGAGGGTTAGAGTGCAGGAGGCTGAGATCTCTTACTGCCCCTCCATCTGCTCTAGGAAGTTCTGTTTCTTGAAGGGAACTCTTCAGAGAAAGGGACCACAAATGAATTGCTGCAGCTACGAAATGATACCATGATAAGAATGGAAATAATTCTAGATTCTCTGCTCATTTCAACAAGTAAAATAAGGCATGTATTTCTCCATGGATAGTGTTCTTTGGTCTTTGTAAAAATTCTTTCTGTTTTGACACTTTTTCTAACCTATTTCTTTGAAACCTGAGTTCACTCAGTTTGGGGAAACACAGGTTATGAAAGAAGGATGGGAAAAGGAAAATGGAATCACAGGATTTTGAGTCAAAGAAATTTTAACTTTCGTAGAAAGACTGCAGGGATCAGCTAACACAACCAGCCCATTTTATAGAGGAGTCAACTAAGGCTCAATGAATCCACAACACTCACCCAGAAAAGCAGCTCATTAGTGGCAGAGCTGATCTAGAATTCTGCGCTCCTGCTGCAGCAACCAGTCCTCTCTGCAGCATCCCAAAATCCCTCTCTCATAATAATCCAGGATAATAGTCATTTCCCATTTTTAATAAGAAGGAAGTGAGCACAGAGAGAACCAGGCACAGCATGATAGAAGAAATCTGGAACTAAAGCCTCACTCCTTTTGTTTCCTCACTGCCTCGCCACCTCAGATCCCAAATCCATAGCTTACAGGAAGCTTTTACCAACATTATTTCTAAGTGAGCACAGAATGTACCATCCAAGCCAGTGATAAGAATTCTCCCTGTAGCCTGCGGTTATTGTAATTAAAGTGCATAACTTATCTCTTTCTACTTGGCACTTTGTTAATTAGGAAAAGAGAACATTAAAAAGAAGGCATTTATTAGAACCAGAATAATCAAACCACTAGTTCAGGGGTTATTCCACTGTAAGAAAAGTCAATAAAGAAAACAGAGTTTTGTTAATAGATAAAAGGGTGACTTTTATTTTTATAAAAACCTGTGCTTTGTTTTAGTAAAGGCATCACAGGTTTTCTATAAATAGTGTTTTTCAGATATATCAACGTGATGTAGTTGGAAATATTGCTGGTCATAGAATCCAAATAACTGGGACAAGGACACAAACAGCAAGTCTTTGAGCAAGTCACTTAATCTCTCTGGGTCTTGTGTTTTCCAATAAAATAAGAAGTAGGATTAGACTTGACGACCTTGAAATCCTTTCCAGCACTTATATCTTGTGACCCTAAAAGCCACACTTTTAATTTAGACATATCGCAGGCATCTGTCCTATCAAGCAAGGTTTGAAGAAGACACGACTAGAGAATTTTACTTATGTGGATGAAAGAGAAAACAGAAGTTAGTTCAGCATGGAAGCCACACGCTTTAGGGATTGTAGCTTTGTGCTCTCCTGTAAGAAGTGATCCATCATCATTTACTGGAATCCATTTTCACTCAAAAGAACCAGGCTGTATTTTGAGTCCCTTCTCTTAATGTGTTTTAGCAATGGCAAGGGAGGAGCAAGCAATCCCTACTCTCAAAGTTCCAATCACGAGAATAGGGTTCCTCTAAGTACTGCTAGATTCTTGTCCAACTCCTTTCCTCCCTACAGAGGTGGGGACGGTGACTTGGCAGCTATGTGGAAGCAGTAGGTCCATATTTCTGAATGAGGGGAGCTAATATATTAGATGACCTTGGGGGTTGGAGCTGTGGCTCATGCCTGTAATCCTAGCACTGCCGTTGGTGGTTTTCATATGAGTAGTTAGGGGTGGGAGCAGGTTGGGATAGGTTGAAGAACTCAGATGGCTTTCCTTGTTCCTCCCTTTCCCCCAGATAATCTGCTGGAATCAGTCCCTTCCAATCTAAATGAATCTAATGAATGCACGGGATCGTTTCTATGATGGTAGGGTAGGGATTGGTGGGGGAAAGTAGCTCTAAGTGCCATCCATAGGCAGATATGTTGTTCTTTAATGCTCGACATGCTTCATGAAGCTCTTATTTGACCAAGCTCAAGAATGGCACCTCAGGCACTCAGTGACTTCCAGAGCCCTCACCTCAAAGCTTCTCGGATGCCTTTATCTTTATGCACGTGCACGAAGCAGAAGTGCGAATGGTGCATAACCCCTGTGGGGTGTTGCCTTTTGAAGTACGTAAGCCAGCCAACCAAACACAAGCCACTGTGTCTTTCTCTCTCGGAGTCTTCCTTTCTAAAGATAACGGGACCGTAGAAAGTTAAGCAGATGGCCAGAGACCAAAGTTTTACGCGCCTGCTTCTCTGCCACCTGCTGATGGAGAAGATACATAGGCAAAGCATAATGGGAGAGGCGGCTGTGAACACAGCAGGAAAACCCAAGGCCATATTTCCATCATGGTGTGTGAGAAATTTCAGGCTTGGAGCCTTTGCAAATTTATAGAATAATGAATAATAACTTACTGACAACCTTCTGTGGCAATACTTCAGGACTGGAGGTGGGGTGGGCAGTGTAAAATTCAGACAGATGATTAAAACTTATCTAAACAGCTGAAATGGTGGCTGACATTAGGAATTCAGTGTTATGTACACAGCAGGTGCTCAATACTTACTTGTTAGATGAGTAAGTGAGTGAGTAAATGAGTGAGTGAATGTTTTCTATATAAGCCAAATCTTGCAGGTGCTTTGCATATGGTAAATGCAAAAATAAACGTTAGTTGAAAGACCCCAGTTATAATCTGATTTGCTCTATATATCTAGTCAGTCATTTTCACTGGGAGTTTGGTAGCAATTGTAAACTGACTGTTAATGGCAGACAAGTATCGCCCATAGCATCAGGAGGCTATGGCTTTAAACAGAAGCTTGCGCTTTGGTGGGTTCCCTCTCTCTTTCTCCTTCTGTGGAATAGCCGGGCAGTATATATCATATTCCTTATCATTTACACTTTTTAAAAGGAAATTTAATGGCATGTGATATGTTTATGGGACAACATTATGTTTAGAAAAATGTGGATCATTGGTGCTCTTCATATGAGTACTTAGGAGTGGGAGCAGGTTGGGATAGCTTGAAGAAAGAATAGGAGGTTTTTAAAAAGTGGGCACAGTGAATGTAGAAAACACAGTAACTCTGGCTTGAAGGAAAGCAGGGAGATGGAATGGTAGGTGGTGGGTTGTAAGCATAAGGAGAATCTTTTCTGTGAGCAAGGAACAAACACACATCAGTGTGCTTATGGGGATGATCCATTAGAAAAGCAGAGATGAAAAGATGAATCATTTGGAGAGACAGGGGTAACTAACTGAAAATTGACATAGGTAATATAGTCTCCAATTGGCTCCCTAAAATAGAGGGCTCAGTTCACGTCTTATACTCAGAAGTCAGAAGCTAGAACAGAGAGAGTGAAATGGCAAAGAGAGAGCAGATGTAGCTTGTCGGTGGCTCACAACGCATTGGGGAGGGAGACACACACTGGCAGCTGTACGGCAGGAGGGCTGAAGCTAAGACGTGAGCACTGAGTCTGTGGAGCTTCTCTGTTTCTTAAAGTGGCTTTGCATTTGAGTACCAAGTACAGTTTAGTTCTCCTTTAGGTATTCGGATTGGCAAATTGTTCAAACCAGAGACACTTACATAGTCTCTTCTCACTCTTTTAAGACAAAGTGCTAGGAGAAAATATTCGTCCACACGATATCCTATATTCAGCCTGGGCAAGATGGTGAGACCCTGTCTCTCCAAAAAAAAATTTAAAAATTAGCCAGAGAGAGTGAGGATCCAAGATGGCCAAATAGGAACGGCTCCGCAGTACAGTTTCTAGCAAGAGCGGCACAGAGGGTCAGTGCTCACTGCATTTCCAAACAAGTTTTCACTGTCCACAGACCAGGAGATTCCCAGACCAAAAAGTGCCAGGAGCATGGTGGTTTCAGCCAGTGCTGCGTCAGTGCACAGCTGGTGCCCAGAACACCTGGGAGATAGAGCCGCCCATTCAACTGAAAGGGAGGGGGCTAAGACAGGGAGCCAGGCGATCTGGCTCGGAAGGTACCACCCCCACAAAACAAGCAATCTGAAGTGCTCTGGATTGAGAATTTCGCAGCAAGCACAGCTGGACCCAGGACTGTCCTGCTCAGTGGGGGGAAGGGCGTCCTCCAATACCGAGGCAGTCTGCCACTACCAAGGCAGTTCACAAAGCAGCAGGACAGAGCCTGCAGCAGCTCAGTAATGCCTCTGCTGACAGACTGTGACTAGGCTACTCCATATGGAGCAGGGCATCTATTAAAAAAAGGCAGCAGCACAACAGGGACTTATAAATAAAGCTGACCTTCCTAGGACAGAGCACCTGGGAAAAGAGGCGATTATGAGTTCAGCTGCAGCAGACTTAAAGGTACCTATCCAGCAGATCTGCGTGGAACAGCAGAGCTCCCAGCACAGCACTTGAGCTCCTATAAGGGACAGACTGTCTCCTCAAGCAGCTCCCTAATGCCCATATACCCAAAGAGACACCTCATAAAGGGGAGCTCAGGCCAACATCTGGCAGGTACCCGTCTGGGATGAGGCTAGGAGAGGAAGAAACCTATGGCAACCCTTGCTGTTCTTCAGCCCCTGTGGGCAATCCCCAGGTGAGCAGGGTCTGGAGTGGACCTCCAGTGGTCCTGCAGCAGAGAAGCCTGACTGTTAGAAGAAAAACTAAGAAGCAGAAAGAAACAGCTTCAACATCAACAAAAAGGACATCCACTCAGAGACCCCATCAAAAAGTCACCAACTACAAAGACCACAGGTAGATTAAAACCGCTAAGATGGGAAGAAACCAGCACAAAAAGGATGAAAACACCAAAATGTAAAATGCCTCTCCACTTACAAAGGATTACAACTCCTCACCATCTAGGGATCAAAGATGGATAGAGAATGAATCTGATGAATTGACAGAAACAGGCTTCAGAAGGTGGGTAATAACAAACTTCTAAGAGCTAAAAGAACATGTCCTAACCCAGTACAAAGAAACTAAGAACCTTGATAAAAGGTTGGATGAGATGCTAACTAGGACGAACAGCTTAGAGAAGAATATAAACAACTTGATGGAGCTCAAAAACACAGCACAAGAACTTTGTGAAGCATACACAAGTATCAATAGCCAAATTGACCAAGCAGAAGAAAGGATATCACAGATTAAAGATCAACTCAATGAAATAAAATGAGAAGGCAAGATGAGAGAACAAAGAGTGAAAAGAAATGAACAAAGCCTCCAAGAAATATGAGATTATGTGAAAAGACCTAATCTATGTTTGACAAGTATACCTGAATGTGACAGAGAGAATGAATCTAGGCTGGAAAACACTCTTCAAGATATTATCCAGGAGAACGTCCCCAACCTAGAAAGGCAGGCCAACATTCAAGTCCAGGAAATACAGAGAACACCACAACGATATTCCTCAAGAAGAGCAACCCCAAGGCACATAATCATCAGATTCACCAGGGTTGAAATGAAGGAAAAAATGCTAAGAGCAACCAGAGAGAAAGGTCGGGTTTCCCACAAAGGGAAACCCATCACACTCACAGCAGATCTCTCAGCAGAAACTCTACAAGCCAGAAAAGAGTGGGAGCCAATATTCAACATCCTTAAAGAAAAGAACTTTCAACCAGAATTTCATATCCAGCCAAACTAAGCTTCATAGCAAAGGAGAAAGAAAATCCTTTATGGATAAGCAATTGCTCAGAGATTTTGTCACCACCAGGCCTGCCTTACAAGAGCTCCTGAAAGAAGCACTAAACAAGGAAAGGAACAACCAATACCAGCCACTCCAAAAACATGCCAAATGGTAAAGACCATCGACAAAATGAAGAAAATGTGTCAACTAACGGGCAAAACAAC